ACCTTGCTAGCTGGGAATGGGTTCTGACCCCCGTAACAATGGCGTATTTACCATGATCAAAACATATCTTTAAGGATAACAGAAAACTTCATTCAATTTATGAGATAGGAGTCAGACAATTCTCTGGTGGGCATGACCCTCTCACACCCATTCTCCCCTTAAACACGCCTATGCCAACAATGACAAAAATAATTATCAAAATCTGTTCAAAATTGACAAAAAAAAATATAATTAAAAATTGTGTCCCATTAAAAAAAGAACTTCAATTGCGACAAAACCTGTTTTGTTTTATTTAAAAACTAAACTACTAAAGCAATTTTAATAAAATTTCTACGAAACCAAACTGTAAGTATATCCTTTCAAATAAAAAGAATAATTTTCCAAATTGGTTTACAACTGATGGAGTTATAAGGTAACAAACATACAAAAAAAAAACAATCGAATTTAGAACCTCCAATTTGAAGTCGAATGAAAAAATTATGTCTCCATCAAAACACCACAGTCCTTCGGAATGACGTACGTCGTCTTGAGACGTACATATGACGTCATAGTATATCCTGTGATGACCATGCTAATGTATATCTATATAGGCGGCAGTTACCACTCTCCATCAGGTGGGCCATCAAATAATTGATCATTTTAAGTTACATAGAAAAAGCACAAATCGAAAACATCACATTTTACCAGAGAGAGACTGTACAAAAGTCGATTGCTTGGGTACCTCTGTCCCATTCGTGTTTCAACCGTGAAGAAGTTGTGTTTGCATGGCTGTGTTTCGGTTTGAAGGGTGGGATATGGCGTGAATTTACTGGGTACAGAGGATTAACACCTGAGTCCTCAGGAATGGCAACGCAAGGGGGGTAACATGGGCGAAACAGTATACTCTGTTATGTCGATGGTACTGCTCATGTCTATAGGCGACGGTTACCACTTTCCATCAGGTGGGCCGTCAGCTTGTTTGCCATTCTAAGTTGTATAAAATAAAAACATCATTCTCCCTCTTCGTGACTCTTCGGCGATCTTCGGCAGTCGTCGTGTATATTCGGGAATCACCAAAAAGTGTTTTAAAATATAATTATGTTTACATTATGTACAAATTATTAGAAATACCAAATAGGTTAATTAGCTTGTAACACCAATCAATTCGCTATATCTCTGAAGGGCATCTAATATTGATAATAAATATAATATTAGTATGTAATAAAAATAACTCAAATTTATAAATAGGTACACTAGCTGCGGAATATTATTGAGATATAAATAATATGGGTGACGCAGTATTCGAATAAAGTGCATCACGGTCGGCACAGTATATCCTGTGATTTTTATGACGTTACACGAGTAAATATTTACTTTATTACAATTACTAGCGGGCCCGTCCCGGCGTCGCACGGGTGAATATTTTTACATTTAAAAAAATGGCCATTAAGGCTGCACACGCGACGGAAGCTTAAAAATGGGGTAACTTGTCCCGTTTTCCCAACATTTCCCATCACTGCTCTGCTCCTGTTGATCGTAGCGCGATGAAAAGTACACTATAACCTGCCCAGGAGTATGAAGAATAATTGTACCAAGTTTCGTTAAAATCCGTCGAGTAGTTTTTGTTTTTATAACGAACATACAGACAGACAGATAAAAATTTAAATGATTGCATTTCTGGCATCAGTATCGATCACTAATCACCCCCTAATAGTTATTTTGGAAATATATTTCATGTACAGAATTGACCTCTCTACAGATTTATTATAAGTATAGATAACTTATTATTATTTCAGCCGTTAACTGTCCACTGCTGAACAGTGCTGTGTGGTCCCGATATAGAATGGACCACCCCTTCCTTTCTCGTGGGTGTACGACACCGGTGTAGAGACGACTAGGGACGGCGAAGTATGGACAGCAGCGTCCCTCTTAAAACATCTCTAAAAGCCTAACTGCGGTTGCCAACCCGCCTGCCAAGCGTGGCAACTACTGGCTAAACCCCCTTAAGGAAGAGATTTATGTTCAGCAGTTGAAAGCTGATATTAATGATTGAAAATAAATAAATTAATTAGTATGTTAGACCAGAGAGAAGGTAGGTACAAAGGTAGCCTGATTTTGTTTTCTTTAATGTATGATAATGAAATGGTAACCCTGCGCTAACGGTATACGCTGGCGGGGCACCAGTGAGGGATGATAGGTGGAAATGAAAATGCAGGTCAGTTAGCCCATCGTGACAGGTCACCTGACCAGGAATTCAGCTCGATAGGGGGACCACGGGGGGTCGCCCTGACAAAGTGAACTGCTAGCAAGGGAACTGGTAGTCTGCACTACTTACAATCTTCTTCTTTTTGAAGTCGATTGAAAAAGAACCGGTTCTGTTACTATGGAAGTCGATGCTTCTTTGTGGAGCAAAGTCTTTAATAATTTACAGAGCAAATTCCGTAGTTTATACGTTCGTACGTTTGTACGTAAAGTTTCCATTATTTTGTTTAATGATATTTAAGTATATAACAATTAAATCAAAATCCTTGAGTTCCGATGATGAAAGATCAAGAGCAGTCATTACGCATGATTGCGTTTTCAATTAATCATTAATTGCAGCAGTGTTTTGCTACGTGCAGGAATTTATTTATTATTAACATTAGCCCGCGACTTCGTACGCGTGGAACTGAGTAACCACTAGACGATATAGCAAGATGTAACACACCAGTTTTAAAGTTAGAACTTCAGGAATGCAACTGTGTGAAAGTGCAGGGCCCCTAGACAATTGGCAAGCGAATTCGTCGATGTAATCTACATCCCTAGCGAGTCCGTGAGTTGGAATGAGCCACCCGATGTTGCTATCTCATTCCGTCTCACGGACTCGCTAGCGATGTCGACTCCATCGACGAATAAGCGAATTCGTCATCGTCATCGACATCGTTAGCGAGTCCATCAGTTGGAATGAGTCACCCGACGTTGCTATCTCATTCTTCCATCGACGAATTCTTTTTTTTTATACAACTTAGAATGGCAAACAAGCTGACGGCCCACGTGATGGAAAGTGGTAATTAATTGACATTGGACATAACAGTACACACACATACTCTTTCGCCCATGATACCCCCCATGCGTTGCCATTCCTGAGGACTCAGGTGTTATTGCTCTGTACCCAGTAAATTCACGCCATATCCCACCCTTCAAATCGAAACACAGCCATGCAAACACAACTGCTTCACAGTTGAAACACGAATGGGACAGAGGTACCCAAGCAATCGACTTTTGTACAGTCTCCCTCTGGTACCCTCCCTCTGGTGGTCTGGAATTCGCTTGTCACTTGTCTATAGGGCCAGTATTTTATTCGTGATGCCAGTTACAGACAGACAGACATACAAATGTTCTAGAAATAATTGTTTTGACTTGTTTTGTCATATAAATTTTCAATCGACTGCAATAAGATGGTGATTCTTAATTCGATTATATTTCTTTTTATGAATGTAACTTCATAACTCCGTTTTTTTTTTGATGGGTGAAAATGGTATGGTAACCCCGCCTGCACTAACGGGATACGCTGGCGGAGCACCAGTGAAGGGTGATCGATGACAATGAAAACAGGCCAGTTAACCCATCATGATGAATTCATCAGGAATTAACCATGATAGTTTCCAGGGGGAACCGCGAGGAGGTCGACCTGGTTGGGTATATTGCTAGCAATGGGATTCTCAGTCTCCATTACTAACAACCCCCTTCCCTCCTAACTCCGTCCGTTGTAAACCGATTTGGAATTTTTTTTTTATTAAAAAGGACATATTTACAATTGGATCCAATAGAGAATTTGTCATAATCAGTTCAGTAATTTAGTTTTTAAATCAAAATAACCGGTTTTGCTACAATTCAATTTGATTTTTTTGCGGAACCTAATCTCAATTATTCAGGGGGAAAAGGGAATGCACACAAGAACAGTAATTATTTGTTATATCAGCGCCATCTAATACGCTTTCATACTAATTTCTACAGTTCATGGCTTTATATTTACACAGTGCTAAGTATTAATTAGCGCCATCTAGTAGCTCTCAAAGTAATTTCTACAGTTCATGGCTTTATATACAGTGTAATTTATCCATGCTCAAGTTCAATTTAAAAAAGTTTTTCTATAAAATTCATAGATGACGTTAAAAATAATTATTATTTGGGCCACTAACAACACTTAATGGTCGAGGGATCGGCAGCATCGTCCCTCTTAAAACATCACCAAAGTCTAATTACAGTTGCCAATCCGCCTACAAAGCGTGGCAACTACTGGCAAAACCCCTCAATGATAAAGGAAACATGGTTTTCAATAGAGACTACAGAATGTTATCTTCAAAAAGAGTGTATTAAGGTTTCTTAAGATTTGGCAACGCCCGCCTAACATCCCTAGTGTTACAGGCGTCCATTACGGTAAGTCCGTTTACCATCAGACAGGCCGTATGCTTGTTTGCCACCAGTATAAAAAAGGGACGGTCTATGTTCAGCAGTGAACAAGTAACGGCAGATGTAATAATAATAACTTTCTTAAAGTTGACTACATACTTTCTACGTGGACATAGTATAGAAACTTTCATTAAAATCCAAATTTAATTTAATTATTTATTTATTTGTGTCCATATCATCATATGTAGATTATTGAAAAATCTATGAAACATCTGAAGGCATAGCAATAGTTAGGAAGGGACATTGAGGGGCAATGCCCTACTATAAAAGGCCCAATACCCTATCTTTAAATGGAGTGTCCCAATAAAATTAGAGAAAGTCGCTTTTTCAGTTAATTATGGCCATGGCCATTATTATCTGCCCTACCAAAAAGTTCTTACCTACCATAAGCTTGGGTCTAGCTACGGCCCTGCTTGAAGAACATCATAAAAGTAAAACAGCTCGACCATTCGAGCCATTAACATTAAAATTCATCATAAATATGTTTAAGATCATGTTAAAGTCCCTCGTTTCCATGTCTCTCAAGTTCTATTAATTTTTAATCGACTTCAAAAAAAGAAAATTCTTAATTCGGTTTTTTATTTATATATTAACTAATTTATTACAATAATGTCATTACAGATCTTTTGGCCTAATGCGACAACATTTAGCTATTATAATACTTATATCTATGTTACATAGCATTCGAGTAATAAAACAATGACCTTTCTGTGAACTTTTTATCGTCAATACTTCGTCACTCTCCTCTCGGCTTGGAGTGCCATCTGCACTCGCCCCTGCACGCGCCCGGTGAAGCTGTTAAGGTCATCTGTGGCCAACAGCAAGTACAGCTCGAAAAAATCTGTCGATTTCTCCGTTGAACAATTAAATATATCAATTTTGGCGTCTTCGCTTAACATCTCAAGCAAAAGAATCGCTCTGGTGATTGGCGTGAATTGCTGAAGATTAGTTCACAAAGAGTACCTCGAGCAAAGCCGATTCGGCCCTTCTAAATATATGTTTGTTGCATCAAACTTCGTCATTTATAAACCGATTTGGAAAATTCCTTTTTTTTAATTTACTCGTACTTTCAGACTAGTCCTTTATAAATTTCTTTAAAATTGGATCTTCAGTTTAGTTTTGAAATAAAAATTACTGGTTTTTTTTATTTTGGAATTAAATCTTCTTATCCTGATAAGATGTTGCTATAGTCTTGTCCAGATCAGAAGGTATTGATCAATTTTTTTATCATATCCACAGACTCGTTCTCTCCCATACCTTCGATATATGCAGTTGCTTTCTTCGCGTGATCCTCGTAAAGTTTCTTCGTCTTATCAACAGCGTCTGTTTTCAATATATTAAACTTCAAATCTTCATAATCAACGTCCTTAATATCATTCTTGCCTTGATCAATTATTTTATACAAATCCGGATTGCCTTCCAACGCGAAGAGCACAGGGGCGCTTGCTAAGCAAAACTGGTCTTTACTGTCTGATGTTAACTGTTGAAGTTCTGTAGCAGCCTGCCAAGCTAAACCCACATGGCACCCGAAATGGTATGCGTAGTTCTCCATCTCTTTACTCTGTTTGTTCAACACCATAGCCGCCTGACATCCCCTTCCTAATAAGCTGACGCCATTAAAAACAGTTCTAGCTGTCCATTCTCTTCTAGGTTTACCAATTACTTGATCGACACTAATGGATGTAGTATCGAATGTGATCTGGTAATCCTCACCTGAAGTTTTAGGTTTCCCTGGCAAAGGCATGTTCTGTTCATCTCTCTCCCCGAAGAATTCGCCTTCGGATAGATCTTTTAAAGCCGTAGATATAATATAGGACACATCAGAGTTCCTGAGACCAGCTAACATACCGTTTGCTGTAACTAGCAAGTAATCACCGAGCAGAAGAGCAATTTTATTCCCGAAAATTGCTGATTCTGTATTCTTGGAACGTTTCGCAAAAGGTACATTCACGATACCCCGGTGAATTAAGTGTCCCGTTCTGATCATTTCGGTTAGTTCCGCTAATATCCTTTGCTGTTCTTCGACTTTCTTCACCGGCAGTGTTGAGGTGGTCTTCACCGATTTGGAGAGCAGTAAGATGATGAGCCCCCAGGGTTGAAGGTTTTTAGAGTCACCGTAGAGAACGTTCTTAGCTGTCTGCATCACAAGGTGATTGCTACCGACCTGTAATTAAAAAAAATAAATTAAATTTTAAGTAATTACAAATATTATTTACAACCATGGCCGTATGGTCCCAGCATAGAATAGGCCACCCCTTCCTTTCCAGTGGGTGTAGTGAGAGGCGACTAAGAGAACTTAATAGTTGAGGAATAGGCAGCAGCGTCCCTCATAAAACATCTCTAAAAGCTTGACTGCGGTTGCCAACCCACCTGCCAAACGTGGCAACTACTGGCAAAACTCCACTTATGGGGGAGGCTTATGTTCAGCAGTGGACAATTAACGACTGAAATGGTGACGATGATTTGTGGCCTATTCTATGCTGGGACCACACGATCAATAATAATAATAATTATATCGCAACTCGAAATTCCTCATATTTTTGCTCTATAATTGTGGTTAAAACCGGATAGTATGGGGGAAAAGGGATTGTTAGTAACGGGGTCCAATAGCACCATTGCTAACAATATACCCTCTCAGGTCGACCTCTACGCGGTTCCCCCTGGGAACCATCATGGATAATTCTTGTCGAATTCATCATGGTGGGCTAACTGACCTGCTTTCATCGTCACCTATCATCCCTCACTGGTGCCCCGCCAGCGTATACTGTTAGCACAGGCGGGGTTACCATTCCATTAATCATGCATTAAAAAAAAAACCAGATAGTACAACATTCGATATTGAAAAGTCGATTGCTTAGGTACCTCTGTCCCATTCGTGTTTCAACCGTGAAGCAGTTGTGTTTGCATAGCTGTGTTTCAGTTAGAAGGGTGGGATATGGCGTGAATTTACTGGGTACAGAGGAATAACATCTAAGTCCTTAGGAATTGCAACGCATGGGGGGTATCATGGGCGAAACAGTATACTCTGTATGTCCACGGTACTGCTCATGTCTGTAGACGACGGTTACCACTTTCCATCAGGTGGGTCGTTGCTTGTTTGCCATTCTAAGTTGTATAGAAAAAAAATCATAATTTTTTTTTTTATTAAGTAAATACTTTTGTGCATTCACTTCTAATTGGGTACCTCCTTCTTTTTGTAGTTGGTTGAAAAGGTTGGTAGCATCCGGTGACCCTGCCACTAATAATCGTGCGAATTAGTTATGTCAACTCATAGTTTACCCTTGAAACTGTGATAACGAGCGTCAGCTTCTATTGAATTTTCTATATAATACACTATATGACATATGTATATAATACACATAAGGATCTAATATCACAAAATATATATATATATATATATATATATATATATATATATATATATGTATATGTATATATATATATATATAGAATAGATAGAACTCGTATATATATATATGCATGCATGCATGCATGGCTGTGTTTCGGTTTGAAGGGTGGGATGTGGCACAGAGGAATAACACCTGAGTCCTCAGGAACAGCAACGCATGGAGCTATCATGAGCGAAACAGTATACTCTGTTATGCCCATGGTACTGTTCATGTCTATAGGCGATCTATAGGCGGTTACCACTTTCCATCAGGTGGGCAGTCAGCTTGTTTGCCATTCTGAATTGTTAAAAAATACTCTATTAGTCTCATTAAGACCCGTAATTTTTTTTTCAATATCTTCACGTACTGACATTGTCTAGTTACAATTTAATTATATTAGTATTTTATTTTTGAAATTTATGAAATAAAATATAAATAAAAATACCAAATATTTATAGAATTAATTAAAATTATTAAAACTACCGTTAGCATGAATATGCGTTATGTTTTCCCCCGTGAAAGTATACAATATTCTTCGGCAATATAGTTGTAGGTTTACGTGTCTCCACTTTCTAATGCTTTCACTGCTTAGAGACAAGTTTTATAAAAAAAATATTGTTTATGGCCAGAACTTGTTACTTTTTAATTGACTTCAAATAGAATGAGATTCTCAATTTAGTTGTATTTTTTTTTATATTTAAAATTGTATTCTACAAAGAAAAAAATATTTCAATTATGGCAAAATCGGTTATTTTGATTTGAAAACTAAACAACTGAACCAATTTTGATTAAATTTCTATGCGACCAAATTGTAAGTATTCCTTACAGATAAAAAACGAATTTCTCAAATTTTATTTATTCAATAATATTATTTAAAAACCCATTTAAAAAAGAAAAAGAAAAAAAAATGTAAATTCTAACGCTTATCTATACGCTTTTTTATTTATATGAAATTATTTTACACCATACGAAGTATTTTCTTTTATAGCCGAAAAAGTGTCTACAAATTATAGAAAAATAAATTATTTACGTATATATCATATGCAATCCATAAATAAAATTAAACAAATAAAAGAAATAAATAATAGTTATTCTATAATTAAAATAAATTAAAAAGTTAAACTTACCAATTTTCTCAGATACAGCGCCAGATTAGCGAACTCGTCACTCAGCAAGCATCTTAAATTCATAAAAGAGGTCGGATATCCGACGACTTTCTCTGCGTCCCTAATTGTGTTGCTCCAATTTGTGAAAGGAGGTCTCAGCAGTATCAATATTTCATCTTTCGTCAAACTGGCCACTGTCGATTCGTATCTTTTTTGAAAAAGGAACGGCGACGCGCGCCTTAGAACGCGGGAAACCGCGTACGACACTGACATTGTTTATGATATAACTTTTTTTATTTTTTAGAGCAAAGGTGAGATCGTTATATTGCCTTCCGTATCAGCATGCAGCTGACCGAGAAATGCTTCTATAGTCGAATAGGTACCTATGGTAACAGCTCTCGATTTAAGGGTTACCATGTCTGTCTTTCACTTTACTCTATATTATATATTAATTTATTTATTTATTTATTCCTACGTATGATAATACATCTTGTTTTTATTTGAAGGCTTTATTCTGTGGCTTTATCTAACTTTTCTTTTTAATTTTAATATAAACCGAAGTAAAAATTATAAGTAAGAATTAGCCGGCCATAGATATCGAAAAAATCTGATGGGAAAAATACATTCTCTAGTGGCGAACTAGTTTATAAAAACTCAGTGACCTACCATGAATAAATGTAGCGAAGAACTTATGTGTTGAAAGAAGTCATAGATGCAAATGGCTTAGGAAGTTAGGACCATTCAGTTTATCAAAATCGGTTCAGCAGTTTATTTTTAAATCAAAATATCTTGTTCTGCCACGATTGAAGTGAATGCTTTTTTTTTTGTGGAACGGAATTTACTGGTCATTAAGTTCTTTTTAAAGAGAGTATATTAATTTTTAATAGCCTCCGAATCTATAAAAAATCTTAATACAGACGTCGTAAACTCCTCACTATTAGGTAAAAAATATTAATCTAGCAACACCGCTGATCTTGACCGTGAAGAGAAACGCGGCAGCTCAAGTTACTTCTCCACATAAATAACACAGTACAGAAATTAATATATCCATTCAATTTCAAACCCTAAGTTTCTTAAGATAGAGACTACGAATTAACATTTCGAAAGCATCATTAAAATTGTTCAGTTACACGCAACAATTCTATCGAGAGCTGTGTTTTATATGACATTTTATGGGAGAGAGGGCTCGATTTAATATTGATAATTTGAAACGACTTTTTTATTAGATTTTTTTTTATTCATAATGTATCCAAGATACTTCCGACCAGTTTCATTATAATTGTAATCCAATATGAGAAAATAGGTTAGAAAGATAACTAGGTGTTTTTTTTTTTGTTGGATGAAAATGGATCGGTAACTCGGCTTGCGTTAACGGGATATGCTGGCGGGGCACCAGTGAAGGGTGATAGCTGAGAATGAAAACAGGCCAGTTAGCCCACCATGATGAATTCATCAGGAATTTTAACCATGATAGTTTCCAAGGAGACCAGGAAAAAGGTCGACCTGTTGACCTCCTCTCACCCTCCCCCCAATAACTAGGTGTTTGGACTTATTATTATAATATAGACTTTGATAATTATTTTTGTAATAGTAGTGTTAGTTTGTATCATTCATCTGCTTGAAAAATCGATTTTTATCTGAAAGGTTTATAACTTATAGGTTAGGCTCATAGAAATCTGAAGAGTACGACCAATCTGTAAGTATATCCTTTCAGATAAAAAAAGAATCCAAATCGGTTTAAAACTGATGGATTTATGAAGTAACAAAAAATCAAATTAAGAATTTCTTACTGGCATAAAACAAAACTGCCAAACGTAGCAACAACTGTCAACTCCCTCCCCCCCCCCCTCTTTCTTAACGCTAACAAGCAGGATGCAATATATTTATCAGATTAATAAAACCAAAATATAAATTAAAAATATAAAATATTTATTTAATAAGTATCTATATATTAAATATCTTTTACAACTAATACATTTTTATATCTGATATCTGAATAGGTGGATATCAGTCCTAGTGAGTGTTCATACCTTTACCACAGATAATATAATACTATACTTTACTATGTCTATGGTTCTTACTTCAGCTTACTGAAGTGTAACAATGTTGCAATTATCTGACAATTTTATTTATTTTTATTTCATAGTATTTATGGTAGGTTTCAAGTATGTATTGATTAATTTTTTTTATACCACAAAATTGGCAAACCCACATATAACCCGTCTGTTAGTAAAAAATCAGATGCTTCTTATTTTAGAACCATTTTTTTTAATTTTAATCACAAATACAATTTACATTTTTTTTTAAACCAGTCTTTTTCTCTTTAGCGCGTTTTCCTTTTTACTTTTTCTTTCTCTAATGGGCCCCATATTTTTTTCGTTATAGACCATTGTAAATAATAAAAACCTAAGCATAATATTACGATAAAACCCATCACAATATAGAAATATACGGTTCCGTATATCTTCTGGAATATAGGGTACACCCATCTCCTGCTATCCATATACGTGTAGATTAACCTAAAAAGAAAAAAAAAAATACAATTATTTAAAAGTCGAAAAATATTTTTAAGAACTTTTTAAAAGCCCTTATAAGGTAATCCGCCGGGGGGGGAAGCGATTAATAGTAATGGAGACTGAGAATCCCATTGCTAGCAATATACCCAGCCAGGTCGACCTCCTCGCGGTTCCCCCTGGAAACTATCATGGTTAATTCCTGATGAATTCATCATGATGGGCTAACTGGCCTGTTTTCATTCTCATCTATCACCCTTCACTGGTGCTCTGCCAGCGTATCCCGTTAGCGCAGGCGGGGTTACCATACCATTTTCACCCATCAAAAAGAAATATAATCCGCCATCTTGTGGCGACAAACATTTTAAAATTATGTTATTTATTTAATCATTACCTACTTTTCAATACATTTAATTTGATACCCATATTCATATGTACATCATCCGCCATGTTGTGGCGGCGGCCATTTTGAAAACATTACATTATTAAATGTTGCGTATTCAGCTAAAATAATATTAAATAAATATACTTACACACTCAAATACAATCCTAGGTATAATACCAAATGCAGTACATTCTTGACGTGTGACTTAGGAACAGATCTAGGCTGGAAAAGTACCTCCCAAAGTGCTATAGGTATTATAGCTGTATGCATTATATGGTTTGAAGTTGGAGTCACTATTTGGTCCAAAAATGGAGGGAAAATTAAATTTCTATCTATCACATATAAAGTCCAGAAGAATGTAAAGACCAGCTGCAATAAAAATAATATACATGTTAGCGAATTTATTAAAAAATAATAAATTTATCTGTAAAAAAATATATTTAAACTAATTGCTCGCTACTTCGAAGATACATAGATAGACAATAAAGAGGAACTCTGTTTATTGTTTCTTCCAAAAGATTACAATAATAAATGTATTATACAAACTATACCAAAAAAATATTACACTAAGAAAACAATGGGCGGCCTTATCGCTAAAAGCGATCCCCTCCAGGCAACCTTTGGATGGAGAGGAGTAATTATAAACAGTAGGACTGGAGGCACGAAATTTGTATGTGTACTTCGTACGTATCAATGTAATCGGTGTTTTTTCAACGTGGGTCCTTCGCCCCACATGGGGGCAATTTAATAGTTAAGGGAGGACAATTAAAAAATGGACTCGAAGCGATTTTAACGCTTTTGCTCCAAGCCATTTAAATACAATGCTACGAGTAGATATCGGTGCCAAATTTACCAAAAAAAAAGTATATTAAAAAAAAATTCTGTAAATATTTATTAGGTATAATTTCGTATGACATTACCAAAATATCAACTGCGCAATTAGAGTCATCAAGTAAACATTGTCGGGAAAAAATTATATATGGGGGCATAAAAATTTTAGAAATGTTCAAATGGGACACGACACAAAAAAGGTTGGAAAACATTTAATGAAATAACTTCTAGATGGTATACCAAAGTCAAATACATCAAGTTTTTAGTTAGATCTTCAAGAACCTAATTGGAAAAGCTCATCCAATTTGGTGCAGCAGTTTTTGTGCGATGCCGAAAAGCAAATGTATTCATAAGATTTTTAGTCATAGAGGGAGACTTTGTACAAAAGTCGATTGCTTGGGTACCTCTGTCCCATTCGTGTTTCAACCGTCAAGCAGTTGTGTTTGCATGGCTGTGTTTCGGTTTAAAGGGTGGGATATGGCGTGAATTTACTGGGTACAGAGGAATAAATCCTGAGTCCTCTGGAATGGCAACGCATGGGGGATATCATGGGCGAAACAGTATACTCTGTTATGTCCATGGTACTGCTCATGTCTATAGGCGACGGTTACCACTTTCAATCAGGTGGGCCGTCAGTTTGTTTGCCATTCAAAGTTGTATAAAAAAAAATATAAAAAAAAACCTCATTGAATAGTTTCAATGCAAATATAATGTTTTAATAGCAAATAACGATATTACGTCTATAAATATAGACATATTGTCTATGGTTACGTACCAAAGTAGAAGGCCAAACGATAGCAGCAAAAAGCGTATCCCTGAATCCTTTGAGATATTTCGGCAGCTCATAGTTTTTCTTTGAATTCTTTAAAACCATAACATCGCATGTCAGACCACAGACTGCATAGAATATTTGCAGGAACTGTAAAAAAAAAATAATACCACTATAACATAATAATATCGGGGAGAAAGGGATTGTTAGTAATGGACACTGAGAATCCCATTGCTAGCAATATACCCAGCCAGGTCGACCTCCTCGCGGTTCTCCCTGGAAACTATCATGATTAATTCCTGATGAATTCATCATGATGGGCTAACTGGCCTGTTTTCATTCTCATCTATCACCCTTCACTGGTGCTCCGCAAGCGTATCCCATTAGCGCAAGCGGGGTTGCCATACCATTTTCACCCATATAAACCGCAAATTTGCAATCAAAAGTACTAATAACCAACAATTTTCAGTCAAAACCACTTTTTTTTTACTTTTTGACTGATTTTCCTAGTCAATAGTACTTTTGACTGGTTAAGAGTTTTGACTGCAACATATAGATACATACAAATGTCCAACGTGTGAAATATCGAGTTCTCATTTCCATATAGCCTCTGATGTATGGGTCCGCCATTATATGCTTCGGTTTGGGTTGTCCCATAACATACAAGTTTCCAACGTGAAGGGTGATGGTTGCCACGTAGCCCAATATACGAAGGTAAACGTGACGAGACATCCTGAAATAAAAAAAGAAAAAAAATTATATATTTATCATGTGGAGTGGAGACCGCGAATCGGCAAGCGTAGTGTTTTTGTATTGACGATAATGGTATGGTAACCCCGTCTGCGCTATCGGTATACGCTGACAAGACACCAGTGAAGGATGATAGGGGAGAATAAAAAGGTATTAAAAGGAATTTACTAGGTACACAGGAATAACACCCGAGTCCTCAGGAATGGCAACGCATGGGGGGTATCATGGGCGAAACAGTATACTCTGTTATGTCCATGGTTATGTCTGTTATGGCTCATGTCTATAGGTGACGGTTACCACTTTCCATCAGGTGGACCGTCAGCTTGTTTGCCATTCTAAGTTGTATAAAAAAAAAAGGTAAGTCAATTAGCCCATCGTGATGAATACGCCTGAAATTCAACATGATGGCTTCCAGGAGAGATCACGTGGAGGTCGACCTGACAGGATATATTGCTGGCAATGGTACTTGTAGTCCGCATTACTAACAATCCCTTCCAACGGATAGATAAGATTAATTATGGTCACGTGTAGGTCCCTTTACTGTAACACGCGGGAGAATCCGCGGGTTACAGCTAGTAATATGTAGATATTTTTTTTATACCACTGAGGTGACAAACAAACATACGGCCCACCTGATGGTAAGCGGTTACCGTAGCCTATGAACGCCTGCAATATCAGAGGTATTACGCGCGCGTTGCCGACCCTGAAGAAACCTCTTTACCCCCCTTTTGAAGATTTTACTACCTATATCGTTTTATGAAAATAATAAAATAATTTAACAGCTTCAATAAAATAATAATCAGGCGGTGATTAAAGAATAAAATAAAAATAAATTTGGTCACAACTTTAATGCCTAATGAAGGGGAGGGGGGATTAGTGAGTACTTTTTTTAATGGATGATAATGGAATGGTAACCCCGCCCGCGCTATCGGTTTACACCGGCGGGGCACCAGTAAAGGGTGACAGGTGAGGATGAAGGCAGGTCAGTTGGCCCATAGTGACCATTTAAGCACTATGGTTTCCAGGGGTAACCGCGTGGAGGTCGACCCGACAGGGTGTATCGCTAGCAATGGGTCTGTTAAATCTGATAACTAACAATCCCTTTCCCCTCAATGGTTAGTAATAGAGTCTACCAGCCACGCGGTTTCCCCTGGAAACAATGGCGGCCGATTGTTTGTCGAATCCATTACGATGGCTTAACAGGTATGTTGTTTATTTCATCCTCCCCTGGTGCACCGCCAGTGTATACAGGGTGTCCAAGAAGTCGACGTCAAGTCGGAATCTGGTAACGTAACACCTTATATAAGAAAATAAGGTGTAAGTAAGGTGTTATAACAATATATATACCAGAGGGAGACTTTGTACAAAAGTCGTTTGCTTGGGTATCTCTGTCCCATTCTTGTTTCAACCGTGAAGCAGTTGTGTTTGCATGGCTGTGTTTCGCTTTGAAGGGTGGGATATGGCGTGAATTTACTAGGTACAGAGGAATAACACCTGAGTCCTCAGTCATGAGGCGAAACAGTATACTCTGTTATGTCCATGGTACTGCTCATGTCTATAGGCGATCAGGTGGGCCGTCAGCTGTATAAAAAAAAAAAAAAACACTTTATAAACTTTAAATATCACGATTGGTAAACTGACCTACCTTTTCACCCTCAAGTGTCACCCCTCACTGGTGCCCCGCTAGCGTATGCCGTTGGCGTAGGTGTGAACACCGTTCCATTCCCATTGATTAAAAAAGAGTACCCATTGAACGAAAAAATATACACGGATCGGCCGTGTATCAAATTATACCCAAATCCATTCACCGTTTTAATAATTGAATAACAATAGATAAATATCGGGGGGAAAGGGATTGTTAGTAATGGAGACTAAGAATCCCATTGCTAGCAATATACCCAGCCAGGTCGACCTCCTCGCGGTTCTCCCTGGAAACTATCATGATTAATTCCTGATGAATTCATCATGATGGGCTAACTGGCCTGTTTTCATTCTCATCTATCACCCTTCACTGGTGCTCCGCAAGCGTATCCCATTAGCGCAAGCGGGGTTGCCATACCATTTTCACCCATATAAACCGCAAATTTGCAATCAAAAGTACTAATAACCAACAATTTTCAGTCAAAACCACTTTTTTTTTACTTTTTGACTGATTTTCCTAGTCAATAGTACTTTTGACTGGTTAAGAGTTTTGACTGCAACATATAGATACATACAAATGTCCAACGTGTGAAATATCGAGTTCTCATTTCCATATAGCCTCTGATGTATGGGTCCGCCATTATATGCTTCGGTTTGGGTTGTCCCATAACATACAAGTTTCCAACGTGAAGGGTGATGGTTGCCACGTAGCCCAATATACGAAGGTAAACGTGACGAGACATCCTGAAATAAAAAAAGAAAAAAAATTATATATTTATCATGTGGAGTGGAGACCGCGAATCGGCAAGCGTAGTGTTTTTGTATTGACGATAATGGTATGGTAACCCCGTCTGCGCTATCGGTATACGCTGACAAGACACCAGTGAAGGATGATAGGGGAGAATAAAAAGGTATTAAAAGGAATTTACTAGGTACACAGGAATAACACCCGAGTCCTCAGGAATGGCAACGCATGGGGGGTATCATGGGCGAAACAGTATACTCTGTTATGTCCATGGTTATGTCTGTTATGGCTCATGTCTATAGGTGACGGTTACCACTTTCCATCAGGTGGACCGTCAGCTTGTTTGCCATTCTAAGTTGTATAAAAAAAAAAAGGTAAGTCAATTAGCCCATCGTGATGAATACGCCTGAAATTCAACATGATGGCTTCCAGGAGAGATCACGTGGAGGTCGACCTGACAGGATATATTGCTGGCAATGGTACTTGTAGTCCGCATTACTAACAATCCCTTCCAACGGATAGATAAGATTAATTATGGTCACGTGTAGGTCCCTTTACTGTAACACGCGGGAGAATCCGCGGGTTACAGCTAGTAATATGTAGATATTTTTTTTATACCACTGAGGTGACAAACAAACATACGGCCCACCTGATGGTAAGCGGTTACCGTAGCCTATGAACGCCTGCAATATCAGAGGTATTACGCGCGCGTTGCCGACCCTGAAGAAACCTCTTTACCCCCTTTTGAAGATTTTACTACCTATATCGTTTTATGAAAATAATAAAATAATTTAACAGCTTCAATAAAATAATAATCAGGCGGTGATTAAAGAATAAAATAAAAATAAATTTGGTCACAACTTTAATGCCTAATGAAGGGGAGGGGGGATTAGTGAGTACTTTTTTTAATGGATGATAATGGAATGGTAACCCCGCCCGCGCTATCGGTTTACACCGGCGGGGCACCAGTAAAGGGTGACAGGTGAGGATGAAGGCAGGTCAGTTGGCCCATAGTGACCATTTAAGCACTATGGTTTCCAGGGGTAACCGCGTGGAGGTCGACCCGACAGGGTGTATCGCTAGCAATGGGTCTGTTAAATCTGATAACTAACAATCCCTTTCCCCTCAATGGTTAGTAATAGAGTCTACCAGCCACGCGGTTTCCCCTGGAAACAATGGCGGCCGATTGTTTGTCGAATCCATTACGATGGCTTAACAGGTATGTTGTTTATTTCATCCTCCCCTGGTGCACCGCCAGTGTATACAGGGTGTCCAAGAAGTCGACGTCAAGTCGGAATCTGGTAACGTAACACCTTATATAAGAAAATAAGGTGTAAGTAAGGTGTTATAACAATATATATACCAGAGGGAGACTTTGTACAAAAGTCGTTTGCTTGGGTATCTCTGTCCCATTCTTGTTTCAACCGTGAAGCAGTTGTGTTTGCATGGCTGTGTTTCGCTTTGAAGGGTGGGATATGGCGTGAATTTACTAGGTACAGAGGAATAACACCTGAGTCCTCAGTCATGAGGCGAAACAGTATACTCTGTTATGTCCATGGTACTGCTCATGTCTATAGGCGATCAGGTGGGCCGTCAGCTGTATAAAAAAAAAAAAAAACACTTTATAAACTTTAAATATCACGATTGGTAAACTGACCTACCTTTTCACCCTCAAGTGTCACCCCTCACTGGTGCCCCGCTAGCGTATGCCGTTGGCGTAGGTGTGAACACCGTTCCATTCCCATTGATTAAAAAAGAGTACCCATTGAACGAAAAAATATACACGGATCGGCCGTGTATCAAATTATACCCAAATCCATTCACCGTTTTAATAATTGAATAACAATAGATAAATATCGGGGGGAAAGGGATTGTTAGTAATGGAGACTAAGAATCCCATTGCTAGCAATATACCCAACCAGGTCGACCTCCTCGCGGTTCCCCCTGGATACTATCATGGTTAATTCCTGATGAATTCATCATGATGGGCTAACTGGCCTGTTTTCATTCTCATCTATCACCCTTCACTGGTGCTCCGCCAGCGTACCCCGTTAGCGCAGGCGGGGTTACCATACCATTTTCACTCATAAAAAAAAAATAGATAAATATCATAACTTATAATTTTGCAAAATTTCACATTTATAATATTAGTCTAAAAATGGAATACCACAGAATAAATGTATAATAATTTAATATTTAAAAAAAGAACTTACGTGAGGTGAGAGAAACGAAGGCCGGTATAAACAAGTACACAATTACAATAAAATGTAACTCAAACTCCAATGACGAACATAGTCTGACGTGGCTGACACCTCTCTAATATCACTGCAGCACTAAATCAATTAAAATAAGATTCAAATCCCCACAGAAATATTTATAATTTTATTTTTTTCCAAATAGTAGTGATGCTACCTTTTTTTTTATGGAAAATACAGAGTACGCACGCGCAGAGCGGTTATAAACAAGGTCATAGACGCTGATGTGATAGACGCCGAGTAGCGAGTGACTAAGTGATGAGCCCAGTGTTGCCAGATAAATTGGAGCCCAAGTAACTTAAAGCCGCTTCAATTTTTTTTATTACAATATAACCTAAATCGCCCAAATTTAGAGTGAGTGAAGTTACCATCATTGGCGTATTTAAGATTATTTTTCAGTGGTTGTAGAAGAAAAGCAAGCCCGTTAAAAAAGACGAATATGTACTCTTGTACATGTCTGCGAAAATTTTCTCGCATCCTGCACCAAACTATTCTGGGATGGACACAGCCTACTCAGTCCCCTCCTCTAAATATTCATGTAACTGAGAGCTTAGTGTAATAATCACTGACAACTAAATTTTGTTTCCACATTTTTGTTTAAATAAAGTTTATAATATTATTAAAAAATGCTTACCATTCTAGTGATGACAAATTAGAAAAAGTTGCCAAATGTTACTAAAAAAATAATTAATAAAAAAATTATGCTCGTGAAACGTACATATAGCTCGCTACACGTTTTAGTAAACTTAAAGTTTGTAATTTATATTTAAATAAATAAATGTCCCTTTGTGTTCGTTTGTACGGAACTCTAAAAAAGTTAAGGTTGATAAGAATGGATTCGCTCTTCTAAAGTGAAAACTTTAATTTTAACGAATTCGAAACCATGCCATAAGAACGATACGTCATGTAACATACCTCGATATGAATTTAATAAGTTTTAATATGAAAATAAGAAGAAAGAATAAACATTATTTCTTTTATACACGTAACAATTATTAATTCACTCTTGCGCCACCTACTTACTTCTGTCTGTTCTCCTTTAACCAAAGGTTGTCTGTATGAGATTGCCCTAGTCATAAAACCACCTTTTGTATCTCTATGAATATACTTTAATCTGTATTTAATGCTAGTGTATTTCATTTCAATTGTTAACATGGCATTGTTTATTTTTATGTTACTAGTGCAATAAAAAGTTAAATAAATATTTTTTTTATATGCTACAGTGTAAATATTTCAGTAAATACATTTTACCTTTGATAGCTGTCTCAGTCTCTTACTTCATTCTTATTAAATTAGTAATAAAATAGTAAACCCGAATACGTATTTAAAAACAACTTACTATCTTTTCTGTTAAGGTTCTAATAAAGCAACATAAAAACCGCCAAAAGTAATTAAACTAATTTCAGTATAAATGTTCTTTATAATCCAAAATGGTCGAATTTTTTTTTTCATAATAGCTAAGAATTTAACGATAAATTTTCTTTATATCTTAAAATGGTCGAAGTATTTTTTTACGAGTCTGCTGTCCCGACACACTTCTAGATAGCCTAAAAGGCACATTATCGCGTAATCTGGCAACACTAAAGAAGCCTGATGAGGTAGGTAACACAAGTGGTAGGTAACGGTTTTGGTATCGATTTACCGTGCGTCGCGCATTGAATATCTAGTATCGATAATATGCGTGTATTTTTTTTTTATATATCCAATTTCTTTGTATTACAAAATAGAGGGAAAGAATATATTTAATGCCTGTGTATTAAATATTATAGTATAATAATAATATGGTATATAAACTGGGCAGTTTATAATATTATATCACATATTTCTAATGAAATACCTAAATATTTTTGTTAAGGTTTGTAACCCAACCCTTAAACAACTGTAATCATATCAGCCTTTTACTTTACACTCTTGATCTATAAGCCTCCCACTTGGGGTGTTTTACCAGTAGTTGCCACGCTTGGCAAATCGATTGACAACCGCAGTCAGGTTTTGGAGATGTTAACTGTCCACTGCTAAACAAAGGTTTCCTTATAGGGTTTTGCCAGTAGGTGCTACGCTTGGCAGGCGGGTTGGCAACCACAGTTAGGCTTTTTATGATGTTTTAAGAGGGACGCTGCTGCCCATTTCGCGCCCTCCCTTAGTCTCCTCTTACGACACCCACAGAACAGGAAGGGATGGCCTATTCTATGCCGGGACCACGGCCATAACCAAATAACTGCAAACAACTGTCAAATTACACAAATCTATCAACAACAATATAACGCATCAATTAGCACCGGCTTTAAACAGATTTTGTCTTTTAAATTAAAAATTTCTCAGTTTATTTTCGTTTTTGGTTTCATTTTTCTTTTTTTATATCAGTTCATTTTTTTAATCAAGCTTATATTGTAAATCCTACCGATTGCAAAAAGAATCCTAAAAATCAATGCATAATTGACAATGTAATCGCTTAAAGCAATTGCAAGAATCCTATTTTGGTTTAACAGCCCTTTATAGATATTTATTTGTACTATATCTAATCTAATTTAATCTAATCTTTATATAAGATATGTGTGACCTTGTGACTTGTTTGTAAATATCTTTCTACTCCTAAAATAAATTTGAAAATTGGATGGAAAAGAACACAGACTACCTTTTGTACTGGTCACGTAAACGAAGTCGGAGGTAGAAATATGATAATGTAAATAACGGAACAGATTTTGAAATAATTTAAATAATTTAATTGAATAATTAATCAAAATCAGTATCTTTGGTTTAAACAAAACTACCCAGTTATTTTAAATTAAACTATTAAATCGATTTTAATAAAATTTCTTATATGATCAATCTGATAATTTTAAAATGAAAAATATCTGAATAGGTTTATAACTGAAGAAAGTGTGAGGTAAGAACCCATAAAAATAGCACCTCATTTTTTGAAATAGGTTGAAGATTATCGATAGCGCGTTATACATAGTCAATAGGCACATCCCTAGTAACAGGGAAGACGTAACCGGTTTATTGCTATCTCTTTCTGTCACCACATGATTTAATGCATGTTTTATATTTTTTTTAAAGCGAGCAACAGATTCTCGAGTAGTCTTTATTTTCTGTAGCTATTTTACACGATTACGTAGACAATTGACAGACAGTTTTTAATAATTATTTTGCACTCGAAAGGGTTTATTGCCGTCTTAGCTCTTTTAATTTATTTTTTTTACGAAGCAAATGCGGTTTAAAGTCTATAATTCTCCTAATTCCTTCATATAGTCTCTGCAAGTGAAAATGATGCAAATTAATTCAATTATTAGAATAATTTCAATTTGTTAATAATTGAAACTAAATAAAATACAATAAAATAATTTATTTATTAAAAATAAATATTATTATAACCGTGTAAAAAGATACCCGTATCCATCTTTGATACATAATTTTTTTTTTTTAGTACGTTTGTTCCGTTTGGAACAGGCTAAGGTCGGAGACCATGCTGCCTAGTCTTCAAAAAGATAATTTGTCTGGAATCTTTGATACATAACTACAATTAAAAAAAAAAACTTTGGTGAAATCTGGTTACATTAATATGATTGTATTTGATGTAAAACACTTAATAAGTATTATAAAGGACAAATTGTACACTAAAAACAATAAATAAAATGCAGTAATCGTTGATTAATATTAAAAAAAAAAAAAAACTAGATGTACATTACAAAATTCGCAACTCACAAAAATTTCAATATTAAAACAAAAAAAAAAAAAATAAGAAGTGAAGAGCCAAATACTTGTATTATGTTATTTTTTTTTTTTGTCATTTCTAAGCAGCTAGTGTGAGTTGTACAAAGATTTACGTCATTTATGTCGCGAAATTCGTGTCGAAATCTGAGTTTACGATACCACCCGCTAGAGGCGCTGCTTAGTTTTCAATATCAAAATTATGGTACGAAGTAAAAGTATTATATGATATGAACACTAACGCACTCGTAACGTAAGTCTGTGTGCAACTCTCACTAGAGAGTCAGTATGTTTGAATAATTAATGTCACTGGCTAGTTTTTTTTTTTTTTCTTTTTTTGTGGCACTGGCTAGTTACAAATAAAAGTTTATGAATGATTTGCATAAATGCATTCTATTTTTTTTTTATGTTATTAGTTGTCAATCTTTTTTTTTTACACGAATATATCACTGGCCATAGTTAAGTACTTATAAACCGTTTTAGTAATACTTAATGAAAAACTAAACAAGTTTTGTCAAAATTGAGGCTTATTCTGAATCGCCACTTTTTTAAACCCATTTCTTAACTTAATATTTAAATTTGAAGTTACAAATTTACAGTCAAATAAACTAAAATTATAAAAATAGTTCAAAAAAAAAAAGAAAAAAGTTAATATTGATCCTTACAATAAAGATGTGGCTGTAATATCAAATATAAAATTTAAATCTTAGAAATGTTTAAGAAAATGGCGCTTCAGTATCGACCTCATTATTATAAAAACTCACACTAAATACAATTAAATGTATTTTACAATTTTTAATCGGGCAAAGTATTCGTTTGTTTATTTTTTCATTAAGTATCATATAAGAAACAGGTTATTGTAAGTATCAGTCTACTATTCAAGTAAAAATCAAATGTTACCCCTATCGTCTACACTTATTGTACTAAAATAAAATTAACTTTACATAATCCTTGTACCAAAACCAGTCTTTTCTACTTATCGTATTTTCCTTTTTGTTTTCTGTTTCTCCAATGACGCCCAAGCTTTGCTCGTTAGAGGCCATTGTAAATAATAATATAACAAGCACAATACTGAGACGAAAACCAGAACAACATAGAAATATATGGTGCCGTATATCTTTTGGAAAATCGGATACACCCATTTTCCTTTTTCCACGTACGTGTAGATAAACCTGGAAAAGAAAATAAATAATATTATGCAACAGGAATTAAGTATCGTTATTACATATGTATTACTACAAGATTGATGAATGTGGAAGCAGCGAAAGAGGTTTGTTTGAATCGAAGCATTTGGCGTTCCATTGTTTCTGCCTACCCTAATGGGAGACAGGCGTGACAGATATGTATGTATGTATGTATATTACTACATATATATATAATTATTTACTGGAAGTAAGTAGGTTTAAAATAAATCACTAGTATTTTTCAATTCCAAATTCTGATAGAATTCAAATTTCCATAAAACTCCTCCACGTAAATGTTGTCGAAGTCATAACATGAATATTTGTACAACTCACACTAGGCACTCTGATACCGTAGTGTGAGTTTAACACAGATTTACATTACTGATACGTTAATATTTATATTGATAACTAACGATGCTGCCTGGTTTCACACAGGTAGATAGAATTTTCAGAAATAATGTAAACGCGGATCGTAACGGAAATGTTTGTAAATCTCACACTAAGCATCATTTTTTTTTTATACTACTTAAAATGGCAAACAAGCTGACGGCCCACCTGATGGAAAGTTGTACCCGTCGCCTATAGACATGAGCAGTACATACATACACTCTTTCGCCCATGATACGGGACTCAGGTGTTATTCCTCTGTACCCTGTAAATTCACTGCCATATCCCACCATTCAAACTGAAACACAGCCATGCAAACACAACTGCTTCACGGTAGAAACACGAATGGGATAGAGGTACCTAAGCAATCGACTTTTGTACAAAGTCTCCCTCTGGTAATGAGGCGCTAGTGTGAGTTTAACACAAAATTACATTACTTGCTGGCTTTTTATATACTCATACGGGTTCCATTTTCGTGTATGTATATTAAATTTATGTTAAAATGATAACAATGATATGATATGACATCACGACGTCGCGATTCTTTAGTACTTTTTTTAAATTGATTACAGAATAATCATTTGAAATTGTCATTTAATATCATATACCTGAACTAAACTAATATTATAATATAATATAATACAAGGAATACTGTTTTAAAATCTATTGATTTATAATCTCAATGACAGTAGTACATGATTTTTTTTTTATACAACTTAGAATGGCAAACAAGCTGACGGCCCACCTGATGGAAAGTGGTAATCGACGCCTATAGACATGAGCAGTACCATGGACATAACAGAGTATACTGTTTCGCCCATGATACCCCCCATGCGTTGCCATTCCTGAGGATTCAGGTGTTATTCCTCTGTACCCAGTAAATTCACGTCATATACCACCCTTCAAACCGAAACACAGTCATGCAAACACAACTGAACGAATTCACGAATTCTAAGAAGCTAGTACTCAGAGCCGTAAAACTATTAACTTAAGGGTTTTTTAATAATTTAAGGATTTTTTTGTTTTTTTTTTTTTTGTGAAACACAATTTCACAAAAAACCTTATAAAAAAACTTCAATCTTAACCAAACTAGATAGGCCACCATAAAATATTTTCCGAAATTTCGGGATCTAACGAAATATAAATTTGATGGTAAAGTTATATAATGTATACCGTTACAATTAAATTACATATTAAAAATGTTAAAGTATGGTTCCTTTGGCTTTTTATACTAGAATTTAAAACGAACAAATGTTTAGAACCATTTACTAGGCGGATTTCAGTACGAACAAAACACAGAATTAAGCCCGAAAATTCGGAATTTCATTTCATGGTGGAACCCCAGTTGTTTTGATTTAAAAACTAAACTATTGAACCGTTTTAATAAAATTTCTATGAGGCCAGTGTGAAAGTATATTCTTTCAGACAAAGAAAAATTTCCCAATTCGGTTATTCGGAAGATAAAATAGACGACAAAAGAGAAAGGGGAAGACTGAGGAATAATAACTACATGGGACAGATAAAGGAAACACTAGGTATCACGTCGTATAGGAAGGTCAAAGATATGGCCTGAGATAAAGCCGGCAGGAGAAGAATGCATGTATTAGTTGCACCACCAAGAGGAAACTCCTAAATGAAAAGAGAAATTGTACAATTGTTTATTATTCTAAATAAAGTAAAAAAAAAAGAAAAAAGCGATGGAATGTTAAACAATACTTACACACTCAAATACAATGCATAATATAATATCATATGTATTAAATTCTTCTTATGTGATTTGGGAACAGATCTCGGCTGGAAATATAACTCCCATAGAGCTGACGGTACTATAGCTGTATGCATTATGTGGTTTGACGCCGGTGCTAGAATTTTGTCCAAAAACGGTGGATAAATTAATTTTCTGTCCAACACGTATAACGTCCAGAAGAATGTAAAGACCAGCTGAAAAGAAATAATAACTTTATTTACTAGATGTTTCCCGTGGCTTTGTTCGCGTAAATCACTATGTAAAATAGTCTATGTGTCAAGTTGGGACATAGCCTCAAAAGAGATTCCTCCCTAGAACGCTCAGGTTCTGGAATAATCTTCCTGCTGGGGCTTTCTCTACAGACTACAGCATAGCGTCTTTCAAAAAGAGCATATTAAGATTTCTTACGGTGTTACGGCATCCATAGGCTACGGTTACCCCGTTTACCATCAGACGTGCCGTATGCTTAGTTTAGTTTAGCGTTAGTATAGGTTTACTTACCAAAGTAGAGGGCCAAACTATAGCAGCGAAAAAGGTGTCCCGGAATCCTTTGAGAAATCTCGGCGGCTCATAGTTCCTCTTCGAGTTTAACAATGTCAATACATCGCACGACAGGCCGGTGAGTGCATAAAATATTTGTACAAACTGTAAAGAGAATACGATACAAAATCTTAAAAACTTTAAGAGATTATTAAAAACTTTAAGAAAATATTAAAAAACTTTAAGAAATTCTTAAAAACTTTAAGAAAATCATAAACATTTTAAGAGAATGTTAAAAACTTTAAGAAAATGTTAAAAATTGTAAGAAAATGTTACAAACTTTATTAAAATGTTAAATTGTTTAATAAAATAAAAGTGTAAAAACTTTAAGAGTTCATGACGAAATGTGTGTCAAACATGTCTAAATCTTATATTTGTATTTAGTCCAATTTTATTTATTATAATTTAATTATAATTTATATATCAATTATAATTTATTCCTAATGGACGTGATCTCAGTTTCTATCATAGTTATCATAGACTATAAGAAACTTCTCGATTTCTTATAGTATATTAAATTTACATGCTCAAATATACATATAGAGTCCTTCCTCAGTTAACCATAGACTAAATTACTATTTATTTGTTTATTTTATTTATTTACAAGAAACATGGTAAGTGTATAGATGTTACAATAAGTATAAGTCCTCATATTTCCCCATAATTAGGCATGCAAAAAGAATACATCAAAAATGTCAACAATAAAAAAAGAAAGAAAGAAGAACGTTCAAGAACATTCGAATACTTTATAATTTATTGTCTATGATTATTAAAAAAAAAAAGTAGAAACATAATAAAAGCGATGCATTCATTTTGCCCATTGTTGCCTCTACACCTTGTTTCTTGTAATTAAGATATTGTTTTTAGTACATATTGTTAATTTAAGTATTATGCATTTTGAGAAGAAAGACAGTTTTTCATTCATTCATTCATCTATCTCATTGAGGAATCATTCGAATAAATGTTTTTTAACCTTCTAGAAGATTCTATATTCCTCTTTGTTACTTACCACTGTCCAATGCGTTAAGAAACGGCTTCGCATATCGACGAAGCCTCTGACTTTAGAGTCCGCCATTACGTCTTGTGATATCGGTTGGGTCATTACGATCCAATTTCCAACCTGTAGAGTGATTGTCACCACGTAGCCGAGTATTCGGAAGTATATGTAACCAGACATGCTGAAATGGTGATCAAAATTGATTAACTATAATTTTCGCAAGTCAAAATGCACTTTTATACTAATATTATAAATACGAAAGTAAGTTTAGATAGATAGATAATTTATTTGCATTACTTACAACACACAAATAACAACAGACATAAATACATACGCAAAAAAATACATATAAAAAAAACTGGTCAAATGCGAGTTGGACTCGCGCAAAGAGGGTTCCGTACAAAGTCATCAAGTTTATTTTTTTCTGACAAACAACTGCAAATTTACGGGTTTCGCATTTTTTCTTTTATTTTGCTACATGGCATTGCTTCTTGCCAAATTACATGATTTTTTGACAAATAACAGTTTTACGGGTTTCCGATTTTTTCCCTCTATTGTGCTGCATGGCATTGCTTGTGGCCAAATTTCATGATTCTAGGTCAACGGGAAGTACCCTGTAGGTTTTGATTCCCTTTGCGAATGTCAAAATATGCGATATAAATGGAACATAAACGGCCGTATCTTTTAATTGTATCGATTTAGAAGCTTGATTTCTTCACTGCTTTAAGAGATTGCAGAGCTGAGTATATGATTAGAGATTAGTTTCAATTTGATACCTTTAAACTTCTTAAGAAAAAAGGGTCTTGACAGACGGACGGACAACGAAGTGATCCTATAAGGGTTCCTTTGGAGGTACGGAACCTTAAAAACGGAAAATACATAAAAGAAGTAACATAATTTTTCATTTCGTGAGCGTGCCACAGTAACAGCAAATTAACACATTTCAATTTATTGTTTTGCCCTCAAAAGAGCAAAACACTGATATGTTATTGTGGCCAAAAACCAAAAAAAGTCAGCTGCGAGAATTCTTGACCAAAAAAAAAAAATAAATATAAATAAATTAAACTAATTGTGTGTGTCCATTACTGTTAATTATTAAAAATTATTATAAATTATTGTAATATAATCATTATAATATAATAATTACCGTTATTATTATATTTTAATCTAAATTAATAAATAACAAATACCATTAGAAAAGGGGGTAATGAGAGGTCATTCTCTATCACAGTCAAGCCATTCAAGTGATAAACGTTTCCTACCTATATACTTACTATATATACATACATACCTATTTTTTTTTAATTGATGATAATGGAATGGTAACCCCGGTATACCGTTAGCGCAGGCGGGGTTACCACTATCTACCTACCTACGTGAGAGGGGTGATAGGAGAGATTTTTTTTTATATACACCTTAGAATGACAATACAAGCTGACGGCCCACCTGATGGGAAGTGGTAACCGTCGCCTATAGACATGAGCAGTACCATGGACATAACAGAGTATACTGTTTCGCCCATGATACACCTTATGCGTTGCCATTCCTGAGGACTCGGGTGGTATTCCTCCGTACCCAGTAAATTCACCCCATATCCCACCCTTCAAACCGAAACACAGCCATGCAAACACAACTGCTTCACGGTAAAAACTTGAATGGGACAGAGGTACCCAAGCAATCGACTTTTATACAAAGTCTCCCTCTAGTGAAAAGACAGGTCAGTTAGCCTATCGTGATGAATACACCAAGAATTCAGCACGATGGTTTCCAGGGGAGCACACGTGGAGGTTGAATTTATGGGGCATATTACTAACAATGGGACTGATAGTCCGCAATATTAACAATTCCTCCCCCCCCCCCCTCCTACATACTTATTAGCTATGCCAATTTTGCCAGTTTGTTTGTTACGCTATTACGCCTAAACTGCTAGATCGATTATGATGGATTTTGGTATAGAGATAGATGTGACCTTAAAGACGGTTATAGACTACTTTATCTTGCGAAAAACTTATAAGGGGTGGGATGAGGGAGGGATTTTTATTGCGTCGTTCGATTTGCTTTAAACTTTGCAGAATTATTGCAGATACTTGGAACGAATCACAGCTATTCAGGCACAGTTGGTTGACAGGATGAATACGAGTGGGACAATGGTACCCAAGCAGACGATTTTTGTATGTAATGCCAAATAGGAAAAGGCTAACGAGGAGGAGGATTGTTAGTAATGCCCATTACTAGCAATATACCCTGTCAGGTCGACCTCCACACGGTTACCCCTAGAAACCATCGTGATTAATTATTATGGAATTTATCGCGATAGGCCAACTGACCTGACTTCATCCTTATCTATCACCCCTCACTGGTGCCTCGCCAGTGTATCATTATAGCGCAGGCGGGGTTACCATTCCATTATAGTTCATTAAAAAAAAATAGGGCGAGGCTGGGAGGGGGAGAGGTTGTTAGTAATGCAGAGTACCAGTTGCTAGCAAAATACCCTATCAGGTCGACATCCACGTGGTCACTCCTGGAAACCACCGTGCTGAATTCCAGGTGCATTATTTACGATGGGCTGACTGTCCATCCTTTTCATTCTCACCTATCGTCCCTCACTGGTGCCTCGCCAGTGTATACCGTCAACGCAGGCGAGGTTACCATTTTATTACCATCCATTAAAAAAATAGGGAGAGACTTAGACATATATAGACTTCCATAGCAAAATATAACCATCATTATATCAGCCAGTGACTGTCCACTGCTGAACATAGGCCTCTCCCATAGAATACCGTACATTTAAGGTCATCGCTCCATCTAGTAGGGAGTTAGGATAACTCCCACTGCGTTTACCTGTACAGAGTAGACACTCAAGTATAACAAAACCTAATTTAATTAACTAATAATTTACAAAATCAATTATTTATGTTAAAATCAATTTAAAATAAATCTACTTACTTTAAAAAAAAACAAATACACAAACTAATACACCAATATTAAATAAGACTTTAATTCTTATAACAATAAAGTTTAAATTGCTCCGAAAATATTTACAATAATAATCACAGAAAAAAAAACCTAGCTCCGTTCCATGTTCAAATTTCGAACGAACAAAGTACACAAACGCAGGTCACGGACTGTGAATAGTGACTGTCTAGTGAGGGGACAGCAACTATCGACGAATCGAATAACGGTGAAACGAGTGTGTAGGCATGGACGAATGAATGATGTTTGTGTTGACGATAATCGATTATAATTTTATCCGATTATCCATATGAATATTATTAATAATTTAAGATTTTGTTACACAAGAAAGCACCGACTTCAATTGTGGCAAACTATGTTTTTTTTTTTAAATATAACATATTGAACCGATTTTGATATAATATAGGACCAATATGAGTTGTATAAATATGTCTGTAGGACTAATATTCAAGGGACATTTGGAGCAGAAAGCGAAACTGGCTCATAAGAAACTTGGGGTGGTCCCCCCTGGAAACCATCGTGCTGAATTCCAAGTGCATTCAACACGATGGGCTAACTGACCTGTCTTTTCATTCTCACCTGTCATCACTCACTGGTGCCCCGCCAGCGACACTCATTAAAAAAAAACCGCAAATTTGCAGTCAGAAATACTAATAACCAATAATTTTCAGTCAAAACCACTTTTGACCAACCTGTTCCGTCAAAAGTACTTTTACTGATTTTCCTAGTCAATAGTACTTTTGACTGGTTAAGAGTTTTGACTGCAACATATATATGCATGTATATCTAATATATAAAATTCTCGTGTCGCGGTGTTTGTTACCAAACTCCTCCGAAACGGCTTTACCGATTTTTATGAAATTTTGTGTGCATATCGGGTAGGTCTGAGAATCGGCCAACTTCTATTTTAATGATAAGGGTGACCCACTTCAAAATATATTTTTTTTTTAATTTTTTAGCAATTTTTTTGTTTTTATTTTATTATGATTTAGCATTGAAAAATACATATTGGGTAAGTCTGAGAATCGGCCAACATCTATTTTTCATACCCCTCAATGATAAGGGTGACCCACTCCTAAATTTTTATTTTTATTTTATGACATTTTTTTATTTTTGTTTTATTGAAAAATACAACTTCAAATTTGAAGTACGGTAAATTTTCATGTATAGTTCTCCAAACTATGTATATATAACTATGTATGTATATGGTAAAACAACGTTTGCCGAATCGGCTAGTAGATATATATCATATATTGTACTAGAAAGAATTATCGATTATACCAAGTACATCTCATCGTTTATGTACATCACTAGCAACTAAAGAGAGATAACAAGTTTATTGCTATCTCTGTCCCGTCCTATCAAAGATAGGTGATAAACGGATTAATAATATAGTCAATACCTAAAACTTATATAATAAATTTAACTTTTATCTGTAAATCTATTCGGATACATTATTATAACAGTTTTATCTGAACCGACTTCAAAAAGGAGGTTCCTAATTTGTTAGTTTTATTTTATTAGTTACCTCATAACTTCGTCAGTTATAAACATACATACCTGTCACGCCTGTCTCCCATTAGGGTAGGCAGAAACAATGGAACGCCAAATGCTTCGATTCAAACAAACCTCTTTCGCTTTTTTTACATTTTGTTAATAGCCGTTATAAACCGATTTGAAAAATTTTCTTTTTTATCTGAAACCATATCTACACCGTAGTAGTGTAAAGAAAAAAAAAATATCTCCCATGTACAGTCATTGTTTTTATTATATTAGTAAAATCACTTTTTTATTTTCACCAGAGGGAGACTTTGTACAAAAGTCGTTTGCTTAGGAACTTCCCTCCCGTTCGTGTTTCTACCGTGAAGCAGTTGTGTTTGCATGGCTGTGTTTCGGTTTGAAGGGTGGTATATGGCAGTGAATTTACACGGTACAGAGGAATAACACCTGAGTCCTTAGGAATGACAACGCATGAGGGGTATCTCTCTATATCTGTTACGTCCATGGTACTGCTCATGTCTATAGGCGACGATTACCACTTCCCATCAGGTGGGCCGTCAGCTTGTTTGCCATTCTAAGTTGCATAAAAAAATTTACAAAATTACATAAATAAATAAGATAAATAAGAGTCATGAAGGTCAAAACAATCATTTTTAGATTTTTTGTCTGTCTGGCAAACTGTATGTTTGTTCCGTCATCACGCAGAATCAACTGCACCAATTTGAATGCAATTCTGTATTTCTGAAGGTGTAACTTAAAACTTACCTACATATTTAAATAGCCGTATGATCCCGGTATGAAATAGGCCATCCCCTCCTTTCCCGTAAGTGTTGTAAGAATCGACTAAGGGAACTTAATAGTCGAAATGAATAGGCAGCAGTGTCCCTCTTAAATCATGACCAAAACCTAACTGCAGTTGCTAGGGGGGAAAGGGATTGTTAGCAATGGAGTTTGACAGCCCCATTGCTAGCAATATGCCTTATTAGGTCGACCTCCACGTGGTTCCCCCTGGAAAGCATTGTGAACAATTCTTGTTGAATTCGTCACGATGGCCTAACTGACCTACTTCATCCTCACCTATCATCCTTCACTGGTGCCCCGCCGGTGTATACCGATAGCGCGGGTGGGGTTACCGTTCCATTACCATCTACTAAAAAAAACTGCAGTTGCCGACCCACTTGCCAAGCGTGGCGACTACTAGTAAAACCCCCATTGGCAAATACCGCGGGAAATAGCTAGTAATCAACTAACTTCCTCATTGACAATGTCCTCGGCGAAACATCATTGGTACAAATGATATGTTTACGACCTTAATGATAGTACTGCGATAATATTAACAGACGATAATATTGACTAGAGGTCGCTGGGGGGGGGGAAAGGGATTGTTAGTAATGGAGACTAAAAATCCCATTGCTAGCAATATACCTAACTAGGTCGACCTCCACGCGGTTCCCCCTGGAAACCTCCGCCAGCGTATCCCGTTAGCGCGGGCGGGGTTACCAATCCATTTTCATCTAACAAACAAAAAAAAAACTAGTGGTCGCCCCGTGGTCGAAATTCGACCATAACATATATTGTAATAAATGAATTTATTATGGTTACGTTTCACATTCAGTAAGACTATAGACAAGTAATATTAACAGACAAACAATATTAATCTATTCTCAATTCGACCGCAGACTTTAACGATAAACAAAAGTGTATATATGCGTGTGTGTGTCAAATACATGGTTGTTGGGGGAAAAGGGATTGTTAGTAATGGAGACTGGGAATCCCATTGCTAGCAATATATTCAACCAGGTCGACCTCCTCGCGGTTCTTCCTGGAAACTATCATGGTTAATTCCTGATGAATTCATCATGATGGGCTAACTGGCCTGTTTTTATTCTCATCTATCACCCTTCACTGGTGCTCCGCCAGCGTATCCCGTTAGCGTGGGCGGGGTTACCATACCATTTTCGTCCATAAAAAAATACTCACCTTTCAGATGAAAGACTCAATATTCATCATCATCCAGTCATTATCCGTCCACTGCTGGACATAAGCCTCCCCCATAGTCTGCCATAAAGAACGGTCCCGAACCACCTGCATACACTGATTCCCTGCAATTTCAGGTCGTCACTCCATCTAGTAAAGGGTCGTCCTACACTGCGTTTACCTATACACGGTCGCCACTCAAGAACTTTCTTCCCCATCGGTTGTCGGTTGTTCGAGCTATGGGACCAGCCCATTGATCAAGCAAGCTGAAGTGGCAATACTATTATCTATGTATTATCTATATATATATATATATATATATATATATATATATATATATATATATATATATATATATATATATATATATATATATATATATATATATATATATATATATATATATATATATATATATATATATATATATATATATATATATATATATATAAGGGTCATTAAAACAATAGAAAAATTACTAAAACGTAATTTATTCATTCAACAAAATATTTGATCTTTGGACAATGTAATTTATAATTATTAAATTGACATGAACGCTTTTTTTATACCAAGAAGATGGCAAACATGCATACTCGTACAGCCCGTCTGATGGTAAACGGTCACTGTAGCCTATTGACGCCTGCAACACTAGGGGTGTCACGTACCCGTTGTCCACCCTGAAGAAACCTTAATATACCCTTTTTGAAAAACCCCATACTGTAGCCCCTAGGGAAAACCTTAGCAAGGAGCTCATTCCACAGCCTGAACGTTCGCAGGAGAAAATTCCTTTGAAACCGCATTGTACATGACCTCTTTAAATCTAACTCGATACAGTTACAATAAACACTACCAATATGGTAACTACATATCTCCCGCCACATGCTATAAATTACAATATGAAAGTAAGTAATTAAAAGTTCAGTACCACAACGCTTGTTAAAAAAATTCAGATATTCTGTGGCTGGTATTCACTCTGGAAATCCCAAATTAAAAATTCAGCCTGTACCTCTGAATTTACATAGTCATTTTTTTTTTATTTGGAAATGATTATAACTTATCACGCTTAGTTCTGGTACTTTGATAGTTTCAAATTTGAAAACTCTATCAAAAAAAGAAACAAAAAATACTTAAAAACGGAATCGTGACTCCAGAGATATTTTAAAATACAGGGCTCTTTTATATATTATAGGCCACTGAAATTGTCTACCTTCACGCTAAATCGTTTATAAGGTACAGAGGAATAACACCTGAGTCTTTAGAAATGGCAACACATGGGGTGTATCATGGGCGAAAGAGTATACTCCGTTATGTCCATCATACTGCTCATGTCTATAGGCGACGGTTACCACATTCCATCAGGTGGGCCGTCAGCTTGTTTGCCACTCTAAGTTGCATAAAAAAAAGAAAGAGACAGTTCTGTTGAAACAAGTGCTTAATAATTCCTTGAAATTAATTTATATACAATTTAATAAATTATTTTTTCTCTATTCCGTAATGCAGTTTAAGATTTATTACGTTCTTTTTTCAAATTTTGTTTCCTAAGAACGAGAATTAATTTGCTAGTGTATTTTTATTTTGTTTTTCTCTTTCTCTAGTCGCCCCCAAATTTTGACTGTCAGATACCATTGTGCGTAATAAAAACCTATGCACAGTAATAGAAGGGACAATATAACTATATAAAAATACGATGTACCATATAGCTTCTCAAATATGGGATATATCCATATACTCCTTTCGAAGTAGGTGTACATGAATCTGAAACAAAAAAAAAACTCTTATTTTGGGTGACGGGATTATTACTAATCCCATTGCTAGCAATACACCCTGTCAGGTCGACCTCCACGCGGTTCTCACTGGAAACGATCATACTGAATTCCAGGTGTATTCATCACGATGGGCTATCTGACCTGATGTTTCATCCCTCAGCGGTGCCCCGCCAGCGTATACCGTTAGCGCAGGCGGGGTTACTCTCTCATATTTTGCATTAAGTACAATCTATTCAGAAGCGAACTCCTCAATCGTCAATTATGTAGGATTTTTATGGAAAATTATACCTTAACTTCCCTGCAGTGAAGTTAAGTAGTACCTACCCTAATTACAGAAGCCTCAATCACCCTAATGACATAGTATCAAGCTATGATGGCATGACAATCATCAAATGATGCGAGTTGCTTGTGCATGTCATTATCGTAATGATAATTTCTTCATTGACGATCATTGATCCGGTCCATTATCGTACAGGTAGAGGGAATTTTTAAAAATAATATGTTTTTATATACCTATATACCTATGTTACTCCCTAAAAATGTAGCTTTCTATAGATGAAAGAAATTTTAAAATCGGCTGAATAGTTTTTGAGTTGATCCATTACAAACAAACAATCAGATATTTCCTATTTTTGATATTAATGTATACTGGTTTTTCCTGTGGCTTTGCCTTACTATATCTACTTATATATTTAAAGCGACTTCTACAAGGTGGAGATACTCAATTCGTCTATATTTTCTGTAGCTATTACTGTTACAATAAATCTGAACCGATTTTTATAATTCTTTTTTTAACCAATAAAGTTTACTATCGTGACGGTAACGTATTTAATTTTACAACCATTTAAGTTTGGAAGGAGGGAATTAACAATATGGACTATCAGACCCATCGCCAGCAAAATTCTCTGTCAGATCGACTTCAGTCTGGGAAACCATCGCGCTGAAATCCAGGTGTATACATCACGATGGGCTAACTGATCTGCTTTCATCCTCAGTTATTATCCCCCACTGATGCCCCTATACCATGCCACCGTATACCGATAGCGTAGGCGGGATTTCATTATCATTATATATATATATTCTGACTTCATAAAAATTATGACGAAAAATATTTATATTATTATAATGTTAGAACAATGCACCACCATTAACTGCCTCTGTTTAGCGTAACACTTGATTGGTAAAAAAAGGCATTAAGTCCGCCCCGTAGACTTATTTTTAATGTGTACAAAAGTATAAAATAATTAATAAATAAATTGATTGAAATAAATACTTACACGCTGAAATACAGAGCAAGATGAAAGACCAGATGCAGCAAATACCTCGAATGGGATTTCGGGACATATCTGGGTTGAAACACCACCTCCCACAGGACTATAGGAACAATCACTGTATGCATGATGTGATTTGATGTGGACGTCAGAAAGGTATCCACAAACGTTGGATATATTAGACTCCTATCATATAAATATAGAGACCAGAAGAAAGTTGACACCAACTGTGGAAAGAAGAAAAAAAGTTCAACAATTAAAATTGGACTTCAAAATCATACCGTGATAACTAAATTGTGTTCCAAAAAAAAACGACTTCAAATGTGGCGAAACCAGTCGTTTTGATTTAAAAACTAAACTACTAAACCGATTTTGATAAAATTTCTACGAGACCAACCTGTAAGTATATTCTTAGTATATTGGTGTCTAATATTTAAATATTAGCGAAATACTCGTTCTGTTGACCCTCCCCCCCCTCTCCTACACCACTTTAATCATACTAATCTTAAATTGTTTTATTTTTTAGTTTTTTTTTAATACTTATTCTGCTATTCGCGACGCCGGGTCAACTAGTAAGATAAAAAAAAAGAAAATAGTACGTTACTGCAGCGGCCAGCAACTGAGGCATTGATGGACGAACATGCAAATGTGGGTCGAGGCATAGCCGAGGCACACATACGTGAGTCCATCAATGCCTAGTTGTGGCCAAGGCTTGTATAGTACTTTTCTCAAACAATGCGCAGAAATCAAAAACATAGTTTTACTTTTTAAGTTCAATGACGAATAACGAACAATAATAATTTTACATGCACCATAATGTTTCTTTGTTTTGTTTTTTCAATAAACAGATTTCTATTTGCAAGCCAGTTCGAAATTTAAATAAAACCTTGTATTAGTTACCTCCTTGGTAGCCATGTTTTTAAGTAAAAGGTCATTCCATTTTTAAATTACAGGACAGATATGAGTTTACATAATAATTTATCTGGCCGCAAAACACGACAGATATGGATTTTCATACAACTTTTGCCGGCCGCTGCCCGCATGTATCTGACCAGTACGGCAACTTTGATTTATCTCGAAGAAGATTGTCAAAATAATGCTCACATGTCCATGCATGTTTGAGAAAAAGAAAGTTAATAAGTTAACAATTACATTCTGACTAAAAATAAAAACTATAAAACACGCCGTGTCACGTCACTAAATTGTTTTGCCTTCCCGGAACATCTCCACTAGCACTTGAACTTTATGGTATGGTATTAAAGTTCAAATTAACTCTTAAGTATTATTACCAATCGTTTGTATGGGAGTACAGAAAAGTGTTGTTTTTAGACAATTTCAGACAATTTTTTTTTTCTAATTTTCTCTCCGTAAGAACCATCCTCGTACTTCAAGGAATATTCTAAAAAAAGAATTAACGGAATCGATTCAGCTGTTCTCAAGATTGTTCTGCGCTTAACAACACATTCAGCGATTCATTTATATTATATTACTAGCTGACTCGGCAAACGTTGTTTTACCATATACATTATTTCGAGAACTTTATATGAAAACTAGCTGACCCCGTAAACGTTGTTTTACCACTTATTGCGAAATATAAAAATCGCGATTAAAATACAGGGGTTGATCGTAAAACGATGAAAATTTAAAGTTGTATGTATTTTTCAATGCTAAATCACATTTAAATAAAAATAAAAAAAAGTTGTGAAAAAAATAAAAAAATTTTTTAGGGGTGGGTCACCCTTATTGTTGAGGGATATAAAAAATAGATGTTGGCCGATTCTCAGACCTACCGAATATGCACACAAAATTTTATGAAAATCGGTAAAGCCGTTTCGGAGGAGTTTGGTAACAAACACCGTGACAAAAGAATTTTATATATTAGATATATAATAATGTATGTACGGATGGCAACCCTATCTATCAGTATTTAAAAATATTTCACTAAGTGACCTTCTATTGATAATGGTCTCAGTATAGTTCAAAGATTAATTTTAAATCTTATATTTATGTTTTATACATTTAAAATGATCCACAAAATGGCGGCCTTTAATGACTTATGATATTTTCAAACGACATCCAAAACAACTCGTTTTTTAGGGTTCCGTGCCTACTAAGGAAAAAACGGAACCCTTATAGGATCATTTCGTTGTCCGTCCGTCCGTTCGTCTGTCTGTTAAGACCCTTTTTCTTAGGAACGCGTGGAGGTATCAAGTTAAAATTATTATCATATATTCAGGTCTGCAATCTCTTAAAACAGTGAAAAAATCAAGCTTCTAAATCGACGCAACCAAACGATACGGCCGTTTATGTTCCATTTATATAGCATATTTTGACATTCGCAAAGGGAATCAAAACCTATTACGGGATACTTCCCGTTGACCTAGAATCGTGAAATTTGGCAAGAAGCAATGCCAATGCACAAGTATAGGAAAAAATCCGAAACCTGTCAATTTGTAATTATTTCACGAAAAATACATTTGATGATTTTGTACGGAACCCTCGTTGCACGAGTCCGACTCGCACTTGACCAGCTTTTTTAGACATAAAAAGAAACCAGACCTACAATGTTGAAGATCAACTAAAAGACATGTTGACAAGTTTTTGTTTTTATTTTACAACTAGAGACTTTGTTTCACGAATAAGCAGACATCAATAGTTGTTTTGATGTAAAAACCAAACAACTGAATCTGTTTAGGTTATGAGCTATGCGTGCATCAAATTTCATCGAAATACGTTCAGTCGTTTAAGTGTGACAGAGTAACAAACACAAATGAACTACAAAACATTTTTAGAGTTGTGTTTATGAATGATTGAATGTCCTACAGCCTCAATGGTCGCGTACTGCGCGGTTTCAGAAATGTTTCCTCCCACGAACACTCAAGTTGTGGAATGAGCTCCCAGCCGAGGTTTTCCCAAGAGACTACAGCATAGGCTGTAAAGGGGGGTAAAGAGGTTTCTTCAGGGTCGGCAACGCGCGCGTAATACCTCTGGTATTGCAGGTGTTCATAGGCTACGGTAACTACTCCATCAGGTGGGCCGTATGCTTGTTTACCACCTCAGTGGTATAAAAAAAATTATCGTATATTTGCATTAAACAGTCTTTTTATGTATGATAATGGAATTGTATTATTAGTCATGCGGACTACTAGTCCCATTGCTAGCAATATACCCTGTCAGGTCGACCTCTACGTGGCCCCCATAGAAACCATCGTGTTGAATTCCAGGCGTACTGATCGCGAGGGGCTAACTAAAATGAAAAGACAGGTCGTCTTTTCATTCTCACCTATCCTCCCTCACTGATGCCCCGCCAGAGTATACCGTTAGCTCAGGCGGGGTTATCATTCCATTATCGTCCATTAAAAAACCTCGCCTGCGCTATCGGTATACACTGGCGAGGCAAAAGTGAGGGATGGTAGATAAAGATGAAAGCGAGTGAATTAGCCCATCATGATGAATTCCACAAGAATTAATCACAATGGTTTTCAGGAGGAACTGCATGGAGGTCAACTTGATAGGGTATAACTTGCTAGCGATCCATTTCTCCAGTAAACACAGTCTTTCTTAATGGGATGAAAATGGAAAGATAACAGGTGATGATAGGTGAGGATGGAAGCAGGTCAGTTAGCCCATTGTCACGGGGGGGAAAGGGATTGCTAGCAATGGAGTTCGTCAGCCCCATTGTGGCAATATGCCCTATTAGGTCGACCTCCACGTGGTTCCCCCTGGAAAGCATCATGAACAATTCTTATTGAATTCGTCACAATGGGCTAACTGGCCTGCTTCATCCTCACCTATCATCCTTCACTGGTGCCCAGCCGGTGTATACCGATAGCGCGGGTGGGGTTACCATTATCCATTATCACCCATTAAAAAATTAAGAAAATAAAAACGAATTAAGAAAACGTATGGAGGTCGATGTGATAATATACCCTATATTGCTAGCAATGGGACAGTTTGAACCATTACTAACAATCCCTATCCCCCAGTTAACACAGCCGCCATCTATCTGTCAGTTCGAAAATCGGTATAAAACCAAAATAAGTAACTTATATAGAAACATATTTACCCAAGTGCAGGGCCAAAGGATCGCCGCGAACATAGTGTTTCTGAAACCTCTGAGGTATTTCGGTAGCTTGTAATTTTCATTTCCGGAGTTCTTCAGTATTAATATGTCACAAACCAATCCACTGAACGCAAACACTATTTGTAGGAACTGTAAGAGAAATTGTAGTGATAGTCACAAACGAGAACGTTATCAACACGTGACAAAGTCACACACTGTTTCATGTATTAGAATTATAAAAAATTTGGTGTGACGAAGTCGCATATAAGTGGATATGACAAAGTCACAAACAAGTTCGTGTTGCGAAGTTACATAAATGTGGATATGACAAAGTCACAAACAAGTTCGTGTCACAAAGTGACAAAAATAATATACATATATAATTTTTGTCATCGTTACGTATAATAAATATCTATTCCTTCGTTTTTTTTTCATATAGTATTTAATACACTTTCTAAGAGGAAGAGTTTGTACAAAAGTCGTCGCTTGGGTAGCTCTCTTCCACTCGTGTTTCTGTGTTCTAAGTGGCTATGCTTTCACAGGTGTGCTTCAGGTTGAAGGGTGGGATATGGTTGTGAATTCACGGCACATACATTTATTGCACTTTAAAAAAAAAACAAAATAATATAAAATCTCTTGTAATAATAATATATATATATATATAATATAAATAAATACTTACGAAGGTCCAACAAGTGAAGAACCGAGCTTGCAGCTCAGCGTAAACCTTCACCCGCGGATCTATTGGTATGTGCTTTGCCCTAGGCTGTGCCATCACCACAATATTGCCAATATGGAGGGCCATTGTCACCACATACCCCAGTATCCTGAAGTAAATGTGGTAAGCCATGCTGGAAAAGTAAATACGATTTCATATAGTTTTCTAACATGCTTTTTAACCAACTTAAAAAAGAAAGAGGTATGTTTTTAGACCGATTTGCAAAACTTACCAGCCGGAGACTTTGTACAAAAGCCATTTGCTTGAACACCCCTGTCCCATTCGTGTTTCTACCGTGAAGCAGTTGTGTTCACATGGCTGTGTTTCGGTTTGAAGGGTGGGATATGGCAGTGAATTTACAGGTTACAGAGGGAACACCTGAGTCCTCAGGAATGGCAAGGCATGGGGGGTATCATAGGCAAATGTGTTATGTCCATGGTACTGCTCATGTCTATAGGCGACGATTACCACTTTTTATCAGGTGGGCCGTCAGCTTGTTTGCCATTCTAAGTTGTATAAAAAAAATACTTATAGATTTGTCCTATGGAAATTTTATCAAAATCGATTTCGTAGGTAGTTTAGTTTTAAAATCAAAATCGCGGGCGTCAGCTAGTATTTGTTTTCTTTTTTTGATGGGTGAAAATGGTATGGTAACCCCGCCTGCGCTAACAGGATACGCTGGCGGGGCACCAGTGAAGGGTGATCGATGAGAATGAAAACAGGCCAGTTAGCCCATCATGATGAATTCATCAGGAATTATCCATGATAGTTTCCAGGCAGAACCGCGTGAAGGTCGACCTGGTTGGGTATATTGCTAGCAATGGGATTCTCAGTCTCCATTACTAACAATCCCTTTAAGCATTATCAAAAAACATGCATAAGATTGTGTTTCACACAAAAAAAAGACTTCAACTGTGGCAAAACCAGTTATGGTGATCTAAAAATTAAACTACTCAACTAATTTTGATAAAATTTCTATAGGACCAATGTGTGAGTATATTCTTTCTAGAAAAAAAAAAGAATTTTCCAAATTGGTTCACAATTGACGACGTTATAAGATGACAAACATAATAACAAATATACAATCGAATTCAATTGAATCACCTTCTTTTTGAAGTCGGTTGATTATATAAAAAAAAAAACAGTAAATTAATACTTAAAACATACACTTATTTTTCGTCAACAAAAAATGTTAATCACTTACTTTGAAACTTTAGTTATGTCACTGCATTTAAGTATATGTTGTTTAAGTTAACAACACTATACAAGTGGTAGCGGCCTGGCTAAGTGGCAAACTACCGTTATCCCACCGAATACTTGTTCGAGTTGAGTGGATTAGTGATGTGGCGAGTCGAACTGATTCGAGTATTGACTCGAAATCACATTTATTTATTTATTTATACTGTATTGTACATACTAGTCATCATCTTCCTACCCTTATCCCAAGGGGGGGAAAGGGATTGTTAGTAATAGAGACTAAAAATCCCATTGCTAGCAATATACCCAACCAGGTCGACCTCCTCATGGTTCCCCCCGGCAACTATCATGGTTAATTCCTGATGAATTCATCATGATGGGCTAACTGGCCTGTTTTCATCCTCATCTATCACCCCTCACTGGTGCCTCGCCAACGTATCCCGTTAACGCAGGCGGGGTTACCATACCATTTTCACCCACCAAAAAAAACCCTTATCCCAATGTATTTGGGGTCAGTGTAATTTGTTTTTTTATTCATATTACAAAAAGATTTGGCTTATAGTTTTACGACCGGCCGCCTGCCTGACGTCAACCTTCTTTAGGCATGTATTTGTTGATGGTTTCCGCCACCTACAGTATGGAGCAAAGGATTGAGGAAAAAAGGAAGGGAACGTTGGAAATGAAAGCGTGAAGGAAATCGGTAAATAAGAGGAATAAAGGAATGGAAAGGGGGGGGGGATACTGCAGCGGCTGTACACACTAGTAATACATAAAATTATGACAAAATAATCAAATGTACAAATGCGAGCTTAACTCTACAAGAGTTCTTCTCCAGCAACACCCAAAGTGGAAAGGAGCATCAATATCACATTGATTACACCAATCTAATAATGCTGTGAATACCTAATAATCAGACTCTCTATATTGAGTAATCAAATATCAGGCATTCAAGTTTTTAAATAATTATATACAGCACTATGGATATTACAGGAAACACTGTGACGCCCACAGTAGCCCTCATGGCAGCCATGTTATAATTCTGTACCCTAGAATTTTATCGCTACCTATAATTCTTGAAACTGGAACACAGCCATGCAAGCACAACTGCTTCATGCCAGAAACACAAATGGGACAGAGGCACCCAAGCAGACAACTTTTGCACAAAATCTTCCATTAAATGACTGAATATTACTAGCTATATTTTGCATCTTTGCCCGCGTGAATCAATACACAAAGTATCCTGTGCGCTAATTTTGGATATAACCTATCCATGTACCTAATTTCATTTGAAATCTGTCCAGTAGTTTTTGTTTGAAAGAGCAACAAATATCCATCTATCCATCATTACATTTATATAATATTAATAATCGAATCTTTATTAAAAATAATAGAGTTGGACGAAGTACTCGAATACGCATTCGAATAATCGAATACTTATCAGAATTTTGGACTCGAGTCTTTATTCGATTGTTTTCCCATTCAGTCACAACATATTCGAATGTCAAAAAAGGTCGTTTAGGTACACCACTAACGCGGATCAACGCAGTGCGGCGATAGTGACGTGCCGTGTAATATAACAGCTGTATAAGATATGACGTTCCGTCACTTGATATATGAATATCGATAAAATATGATTTTATTTGAATGAATGAATGGAAACTATTTATTGTTCCCTTCAATGAATGATATAGATTATAAAATATGTAACGGGAGGGCCCTTATCTCAGAAGTTTGTGTAATAAACAATCTGAAATAATTATAGTTCTATGTATATGTGCTTCTATGTATATGTATGTATATATATATATATATATATATATATATATATATATATATATATATATATATATATATATATATATATATATATATATATATATATATATATATATATATATATATATATATATATATATATATGAAGCGAAAGAATTACGCTATTATTCAGTACGGAAACCTAAAAATTACGGTTTCAATTATTTACAAAATTGATATGAGACCAACATGGGAATAAACCTTGTCGATTATGTTAAAATCGGACCAACATGAAAAAGAAGAATCGACTCGGTTGATTTTTTTTATTTGTCACTTTGTTTACGAGGGATGGGAAGTGTGACAGAGATATTAGAGAAAAAGAACTGTTAAAATCGGTACATTATTGACTGACACTAACACTCGTAATCGTGGGTATGGCAGAAGAAGCATAGTAAGATAAACCGACATAAAAAAGTGTGATTAGAGAGAGTGTGAAAGACGATGTAGTGACAAAAATCGATGTTGCGTTGGTTTGGTCATTTGGTTGAGAAGAATTACGAAAGAGATTTTTTTTATTTGACCAAATCACGTGCTCAAATTAAAAACTAACCGACGAGCGTGTCAATTCTGATTTGGCGTTCCCGATTTGGAAAATTCTTACCGATTTGGAAAATTCTTTTTTCCTCTGAAAGAATATACTTACAGATTGATCCTATAGAAATTTTACCAAAATTGGGTCAGTACTTTAGTTTTTAAATAAAAATAACTGGTTTTGTCACAATTTAAGTCGGTTTTTTTTAATATGGGACACAATATTTAATTATGGAATTTGCTTAAAAATACATTTTTCTTATACTTACTAATATAAAGAATGTAATAGTTGTTTGTTTGTTTTTTCTTTCTTTTTAATTAAAGAGCTTTACCTTCTTCAGGTATATCAATCCCTGATCTGGTTTTTCAAAAAAATCATATCTACTTTCCCTAGACACGGAATTAATGAGTATCAATAATTTAGGGAGAGTTTGTTCGTTTGTTAACTCTTATCGCTCTGACGGCTCAACCAGGAGGGAAAGGGATTGTCAATTATGAGATTTAACAGCTTCATTGCTAGCAATACACCCCATCAGGTCGACCTCCACGCTGTTTCCCCTGGAAACCGTAGTGGTTAATTCTTGTTCAATTGGTCACTATGGGCCAACTGACCTGCCTTCATCCTTACCTGTCAACTTTCACTGGTGCCCTGCTTCACCCTTCACTGGTGCCCCGTTAGCGTATACCTATAGCGCAGGCAGGATTACCATTCCATATTCACCCATTAAAAAAAAGGCTTAACCAAACACGATGAATTTTGGTATGCAGGTAGTATATGGGATGGAGAAGAATATAGACTACTTGTTATCCGGATCAGTGAACAAGGGATATGGGATATGATCACGTGGACGAATTCGCGGGTAAAAGTTAACTAATGCAATGCTATTTTACTAGTTAACCTTTGGAATTACCTATTGGTAAATTACCTACGTAATGAATCCGGGTCGACAAATGTTGACCCGAGACGAAAATTAAAATAAAACTTAATTTAAGAATAGAAAAACCGAATAAACCTTGTATAGATGGAAACTCAGTAGAAAAATCGCTTGCTTGGGGACGTCTGTCCCACTCCACTTTTTTTTAATAGGCATTAATAGAATGGCATACCCCGTCAGCGTATACCGTTAGTGCAGATGGGGCTACCATTTCATTATCATCCATGGAGCTGTTAGGCTGTTACATTCCCTTTACTAATAATCCCTCCCCTCACCCCCTCATGAAGGGTATCTAGAGCGCCACAGTATACACTATGATGCCCACAGCCACTTTCTACCATCGTGCGGCTCGCCATCGACAAAGAGTTCATCCTCATGTCCTACAGCCTCAATGGTCGCGTACTGCGCGGTTTCAAAGACAAACACTCAGGTTGTGGAATGAGCTCCTAGCCGAGGTTTTCCCAAGAGACTACAGCATAAGGTTCTTCAAAGGGGGGGGGGGGGGGGGTAAAGAAGTTTCTTCAGGGTCGGCAACGCACGCGTAAACCTCTGGTATTGCAGGTTTTCATACGCTACGGTAACCACTTACCATCAGGAGGGCAGTATGCTTGTTCGCCACATCAGTGGTATAAAAAAACTGTGTTGTCCACGGAGTTGTTCACGTCTATAACTGACGTTTACAAGTCCAACACTGCGGGGGATAATTGTCAATTGACAGTCCCATTGTTAACAATATATATTGTCAGATCGACCTCCACATGGTCCCCCTTGTCCTCATCGTGCTGAATTCCAGGTGTAATCATCATGGTGGGCCAACTGACCTGCCTTTTCATCTTGATCTATCATTCCTCACTGGTGCCCCATCAGCGTGTACCGTTACCACAGACGGGGTTACCATTCCATTATTAAGTCCTCTACCCAAAGGTTGTCTGGAAAAGATTGTTTAGCGATAAAGCTGCCTTTTGTATCATTTCTCTTTAATATTTACTGTATTTTTTTTTGTTGGTTTATTGGTGCAATAAAGTGTAAAATAATTAAGTAATTTCCAGAGGGAGACTTTGTACAAAAGTCGATTGCTTGGGTACCTCTGTCCCATTCGTGTTTCTACCGTGAAGTAGTTGTGTTTGGATGGCTGTGTTTCGGTTTAAAGGGTGGGATATGGCGTGAATTTACTGGGTACAGAGAAATAACACCTGAGTCCTCAGAAATGGCAACGCATGGGGGGTATCATGGGCGAAACAGTATACTCCGTTATGTCCATGGTACTGCTCGTGTGTATAGGCGACGGTTACCACTTTCCATCAGGTGGGCCGTCAGCTTGTTTGCCATTCTATGTTGTATAAAAAAAACCATTGAGAAACCATATTATTATGGCTATTGACCTTGTTTAATATTATTACCGGTCACTGTAAATGCTGATGGATAATTAATTACATATCAATTCATAACAAATTTGTTGAATGAATAGGTGCTTCCTAGGGGGGAAAGGGATTGTTAGTAATGGAGACTGAGAATCCCATTGCTAGCAATATACCCAACCAGGTCGAACTCCTCGCGGTTCTCCCTGGAAACTATCATGGTTAATTCCTGATGAATTCATCATGTTGAGCTAACTGGCCTGTTTTCATTCTCATCTATCACCCTTCACTGGTGCTCCGCCAGCGTATCCCGTTAGCGCAGGCGGGGTTACCATACCATTTGCACCCATCAAAAAAAAAATAGGTGCTTCCGGGAGGAAAGGGATTGTTATCAATGGTGTTTGACAGCCCCATTTCTAGCAATATAGGGCATATTAGATCGACCTCCACGTGATTCCCCCTGGAAACCATCGTGAACAATTCTTGTTGAATTCGTCACGATGGGCTAACTGACCTACTTCATCCTCACCTATCATCCTTCACTGGTGCCCCGCCAGTGTATACCGATAGCGCAGGCGGGATTACCATATCATTATTATTAAAAAAAAAATTGGTGCTTCCATACACACTAACTGAATTAACCGACTTGGTTTTACACGAGATACCGCAACTTTTTGTGGTTAAAGAACTGTGTTGCGAGCTTGGCAATTTTTTCAAACTACTTCAAAAAAAGAATGTTCTAAAATCGGTTGTATTTTTTTTTTATATTTGTTACCGATTAAATTTTTTTTTATCTAAAATGATGTACTTACAGATTGGTTACATAGAGATAGTATTAAAAACAGACAAGTAGTTTAGTTTTTAAACCGAAATGAACGTACATAATGTATTTTATCTGTATTTCTTTCTCTTTTTTTTTTATTATTTTTTTTTTCAGTGGTATTTCGCGGCTCACTTTTAGCCACAACAGAATATCAGTGTTTTGCTCTTTTTAGAACAAAGCAAAAAGCTGAATTGTGGCCATTTTGTATTACTGTGGCACACGCATGAAGAGAAAAAAATTGTTACTAATTTTATGCATAAATCAAATAAATTATTTAAATCACACTGGCAGCGTGTCATTTTTATATATTTTATGTTTTTGACGGAATTTCACCTTTGCGTCATTGTTCAAAGAACCTAAATCTAAACACAAAAGGAATTGACGACGCAGCAGCCGAATATAATATTACACGAACTATTTCGAGTTACTTTTGACGCACTCACAACTCGAAACCTATTTAATAATCATAAATAAAATTTAGCACAGTTATTGCTACGCTGATTTTATAATATTTGATTTGTTAGTAAAACCTAGCCAAGCGAAATTATAAGCTTGAATTACATCCCAATCTTGACTAGGTTTTACGAAATAATGAGCTTAAGTTACATCTCAAGTAAAATAAATATATCTTTAAAATTTAAGAATTTATAATACCTATTAAGTAGTAAACATGGTGGTAATGCTAAAAAAATATTATATATGTACATTCATTTTTTCATGTCGCATATTTATACGCATACAGAGTAACTTATAAATTTTAAGATCTCAATTCTTTTTTCAAAAACCGACAAGAGAATGTTGCGTTGGTTTGAACATTTAGAGAGGATGGAAGAAAGAAGAATTATGAAAGAATGAAGATGTCGGTAAAAGCTGCCCTAGACGGACATGTCGATCATATAGGCGAGGTGCTGAAGAAAGGCCAAATTAAAAGTATCCGTGTATGAAAAGATTGATGAATGTGCAGGGAGCAAAGAAGGCTTGTTAGAACCGAAACTTTTGACGTTCCAATGTTTTTGCCTACCCTTAAAGGAGACAGGTGTGTTGGATATACATATATTTATATGTATGTATGTATGTATCGAAATAATAATTTGTAATATTGAACTTGACTCTCGTTTCACATTTATGTTTTTAATGAGATAATAATATACTCCAAACGTTCAAGACTTATGATATATGTAATCATGTAACTTTTTTACGCAGTAAAACACGTTTTTATTTTTCATTCAGATTCAATACACGACAAACGTTCATTTTGGCCTCTATATTAAATGTTTTGTGTTTTTCTAAGCAAATTACGTACACGCAAACACGAGAAGGTATGATCTATTATTTTTTATCATCATATATCTAGCTATCATCATCACATCAGCTTTTAACTATCCATTGCTGAAAACAAGCCTCCCCCTTGGGGGGTTTTGCCAGTTGCCACGCTTAGTAGGCGGATTGGCAACCACAGTTACGCTTTGGATATATTTTAAGAAGGACCTCCTTCGAGTATTAAGTTCCCTTAGTTCTCCTATTACTACACCTACGAGAAAGGAAGTGGTGGCCTATTCTATGCCGGGACCACACGGTCTTTTATTACTATACTAGTTTTTTTTTTTTTTCCAACCAACCAACGTCTTACCAAAGTCTTACTGCGGTTGCCAAACCGTCTGACAAGCTAAGCAACTACTGGCGAAACTCTACTCCCCAAGGGATCTCCCCCTTATTCAGTATTGGAGAGTTAATGGTTAATATTTATTTATTTATTTATTTATTCTTTATTGACCACATTCCAAAAAAAAATGTCTGATACAAAAGGCGGACTTAATACTATATAGCATTCTCTCCCAGTCAACCTCTAGCAAAATAGAAATTTTATTATGTGGTGAAAAAAATTTCGTATAGGGAGATAAAGGATATGGCCTGGGATAGAGCTGGCTGGAGGAAGATGCATGAATTAGTTGCACCGACAAGAGGAAACTCTTAAATGAAAAGAAGGTGAAAAAAATTACAACACGTACAATAGAGAACTACGGCACATTATGGTTATATAAATATACATACATGAATATACAAATATGTCATCATAAAAACATACATACAAATATAAATATACATATATATATATATATATATATACCTACATATTATACTAATAGATTATATACGATAACACAAATAAACAACGATAGAGATCAAAAGTGATGATGATGAAGATGATGAATATTATGATGTGATATAATGTAGCAGAGGGAGACTACAAAAGTCGATTGCTTGGGTACCTCTGTCCCATTCGTGTTTCTACCGTGAAGCAGTTGTGTTTGCATGGCTGTGTTTCGATTTGAAGGGTGGGATATGGCGTGAATGTACAGGGTACAGAGGAATAACACCTGAGTCCTTAGGAATGACTACGCATGGGGGGGCGTCATGGGTGAAACAGTATACTCTGTTATGTCCATGGCACTGCTCATGTCTATAGGCGACGGTTACCACTTTCCATCAGGTGGGCCGTCGGCTTGTTTGCCATTCTAAGTTGTATAAAAAAAAATTAGCCTTAGAGTTCGCGGGAGAAAACTCCTTTGAGACCGCACTGTACGCGACCATTTAGGTTCAAGCGTATGAGGATGAACTCCCTGTCGATGGCGAAAGGTGAAATAAATCTAAATGTAAGGTGGTAAGGTGTAAATTAATACTGCCCAGTGATCGTACCATCCTTTTTTTAACCTACTTCAAAAAGAGGGAAGTTCTCAATTCGGTTGATTTTTTTTATGTTTGTTACCTCATAACTCCATCAGGTGTGAACCGATGTGATTTTTTCTAATCTGAATCAGCCATTCATTATAAAAAAAGTATGCATGGTGCCAGTCGATCATCCTGTACGGGCTTTTCAATGACCATGTAATTTTATACGTAGCACATTTAAATAAATACACATAATGTTAACAGAGATTTAAAAGAGTAACTGTTCAGTTTTTTACGGGTTCTTTTCAGCAAATAACAGCATTTTGGGCCCTGCAGTAGATTTAAAAAAAAATACGATTTAAAACTGCTATTTGAATTTTGAATTTTATGATTATTCCTTTTTACAGTGTAATGGAGAATTTCATATATTACCGTTTACTTGGATATGTGGTGACAATATGTACGCATCTTGCCAACTTCGCTGTGGTGACGTCACGGCTGCAACAGAAACTGCCAACCAATCCTGAACTGACTATATTTCTGAACCTACAATACCGATACCTCACAGTGTGGACTGCGGTATGATAATATTATGATTTGCTAGCGACGCGCCCTGACTTCGCACGGGTAGACAGAAAAAAAATACAACCATCTCTACACGCTATGTTGTCATCGAATAGGCCACCCGTTCTTTCCGATGGGTGTCGTAAAAGGTGACTAAGGGAGGGCGAGGGATGGACAGCAGCGTCCGTTTTAAAACATCTCCAAAGTCTAACTGCGGTTGCCAATCCGCCTGCCAAGCGTGGCAATTACTGGCAAAACCTCCCTTATAGAGAAGTCTTATTTAGCAGAAGATTGTTAAAGGCTATTTTTTTATTTTTTCTAGAAAATGTAAATTATACTCTTTTTCCGCGCTAAGCCTCTGATTTGGACCATTGTGCGTATAAGTCGCTAGTACGGCTAGCCCAGCTCCGCCTAGAAGCACAGAAGCTTCCTGGGAACTTCACAGGCCTCACAGAGCGACCTATTGTTATTTATAAACCAAATGATAAACAAACCAGAGAGAGACTTGTACAAAAGTCATTTGCTTGGTTACTTCTATCTCATTCAAGTTTCAATCGTGAAGTATTTGTGTTTGCATGGCTGTGTTTCGGTTTGAAGGGTGGGATATGGCGTGAATTTACAGGGTACAGAGGAATAACACCTGAGTCCTCAGGAATGGCAACGCATGAGGGGTATCATGGGCGAAACAGTAAACTCTGTTATGTCCATGGTACTGATCATGTATATAGGCGACGGTTACCACTTTCCTGCAGGTGGACGCTCAGCTTGTTTGCCATTCTAAGAAAATAAAATCTTTACTTTATAACATTGTTTAAAAAGATGGACTACATTATGTTTGTTCCCTCATAACTCCGTCAATTGTAAATCGATTTGGGTAATTCTTTTTTTATCTGAAAGGATACACTTTCAGATTGGTCCTATAGAAATTTTATCAAAATCGATCAAGTAGTTTAGTTTTGAAGTCAAAATAACCGGTTTTGCCCCAAAAAAAAAATACGGTTTTTTTGGGGGACACAATCTTAAATTACATTAAGTTACATTTATAATGTTACATTATCATTATGTTTTTAAATTAAATTATAAAATAAAAATAATATTTTGTCAACAGGTTTTTCAGTTGACCTACGCCATTGTTGGTCTGGTGTGTGATACCTTAACAGTAATAGGAAAAAACTCACCGAGACTTAAAACTATTAGAGAATCCAGTAATAAATATTTCTCGGCCATCGTACTACCCTACACAGTGGTAAGCTTTAACTAACTTCGAAACAAAAAAAAAAAATTAAATACAATTTTGCAATTAGTACCAATTTTAAGTATTCATTTTTATTAAAATAGTTTATTCATGTGTTAAATATGTCCTCAATGGGTCCATACATACAATTTTCTAGCGTTAAGGAATTATTCGTATTAAAAAACTAGCGAGCGGTCCCGGCTTCGCACGGGTAGGCAGATAGGAAGGTAAATTAGTATGTTACATCAGCTTTAAGATATTTTGAGTTACATTATTGTAGTTTTTGTATAGGTCTCTAATTTTTCAAAAATGTAGCATTCTATATGTGGAAGAATTTTTAAAATCGGTTGAGTAGTTTTTGGGTATATCCATTACAAACAAACATACAAACGAACAAATTTTCGCTTTTCATAATATTAGTGTAGAAAGTATAAACTCTTGCCTTGTGGTCCCGGCATAGAACGGACCATCCCTTCCTTTCCCGTGGGTGTCGTAAGAGGCGACAAAGGGAATTTAATTGTCGAGGGATGTGAAGCAGAGTACCTTTTAAAACATCACCAAAGCCTAACTGCGGTTGCCAACTCGCCTGCCAAACGTGGTAACTACTGGCAAAATCCCTTTATGGGGGGCTTCCGTTCAACAGTGGACAGTTAACGGCTGTAATGATGAAGCATCTAAAAATAGGATGTTGCTAATTCGAGGGTATTTCTCGCGTATGTTTTTAAACGATTTTTAAAAATAAGTTTCTAAATTGGTATGATGATGTTGGTAGATGCTGTACAGGGTACAGAGGAATGACACCCGAGTCCTCAGGAATGGCAACGCATGGGGGGTATCATGGGCGAAACAGTATACTCTGTTATGTCCATGGTACTGCTCATGTCTATAGGCGACGGTTACCACTTTCCATCAGGTGGGCCGTCAGCTTGTTGGACATTCTAAGTTGTATAAAAAAAAACTTAGTCTATGTTATACATACTTCATTAACATTCTGTCATCATCGTCATGTTAGCCGATAACTGTCCGCTGCTGAACATAAGGCTGACCCGTAAGAGGAGTTTTGCGAGTAGTTGCCACGCTTGGCAGGCGGCTTGTCAACCGCAGATAGGCTTTCTGATGACGTTGTAAACGCTATTTCCCATTCCGCGACCATAACGGTCCTTTAGTCGCCTATTACGACACCCACGGAAAAAGGAAGATTGGCCCATTATAACCACATTACTGATTCACTATCTATAATTCATTAAAATTTCATTAAAATCAACACTGTTTGTTGCAGCTGGTCTTCACACTGTTCTGGCCCATTTATTTCTACGACAAGCCACTCGTGTTCCCACCAAAGGGCAACATGATCATAAGTTGCACTTCAAACATTATCTTTCACGCGTTCATACTACCCGTTGTCGTATGGGAGTTGATATTTCAAAGGAAAACAACGAATGTTTCACATAAACAGAACTGTTTATATATTTTTCTGATGTACGTGACATATAACAGCGCGTAAGTATATATATATTTTTTTAATGGTTGAAAAATAGCATGGAAACCCCGCCTGCGCTATCGGTATACACTGGCGGGGTACCAGTAAGAGGTGATAGGTAAGGATGGAAAGGCAGGTCAGTTAGCCCATCGTGATGAATTCCACAATAAATTAGTCACGATAGTTTCTAAAGGGAACCGTGTGGAGGTCGACCTGAAAGGGTATATTGATAGCAATGGGGACTAACCTCCTCAATACTAACAATCACCTCCCCTCCTCACCGTAAGTTTATATTTATATCATCATCATCTCAGCAATTATCCGTCCACTGCCGAAAATAGGTCTCCCTCCTCCATAGACGGCCATTAAGTAACCCCTCCCCATGGTAAGTATATATATATATATATATATATACTTGTTAGATTAACTGTTGAGTTTGTTGCGTGCTCTTCTCAACAGATAATAACTTTTTGAACCCTGATCAAAAAGTTATTATCTGTTAAGATCTCAGAAGTAGAAAAACTAATGAAATAAATCACTTCTACATTTTTTTTATACAACTTAGAATAGCAAACAAGCCGACGGCCCACCTGTTGGAAAGTGGTAACCGTCGCTTATAGATATGAGCAATACCATGGACATAACAGAGTATACTGTTTCACCCATGATACCTCCCATGCGTTGCCATTCCTGAGGACTCAGGTGTTATTCCTCTGTACCCAGTAAATTCACGCCATATCCAACCCTTCAAACCGAAACACAGCCATGCAAACACAACTGCTTCACGGTTGAAACACGAATGGGACAGAGGTACCCAAGCAATCGACTTTTGTACAAAGTCTCTCTCTGGTATGGTTACATCATAACTCCGTCTGATATGAATTAATAAATTATTTATACATTTGAAAATATTTTTAAAAAATAACCCAACACTTGTGAAGCAATAATGTATTTTGAATTTCAGGTTATTTTATACGCGCTATGGAGATTATGGTGTTTGGCCGTACCTTGTCTTGAAGGTACTGGAAGGTACAATATTTTTCCCATTATTCTTTTTATACATATTAATAGTACTATACGTCGGTTACTTTACACAATGGCGTATAAAGTCTACCGTCTGGGAACGTAGGGACAAAAGTTGTATAAAACAATCTTAATATTTAATTAATTATTAATTACAAATAACTTAATAATTAATTACTTTTATATTTTGCATTATTATACTAAATTATTTTTTAATTATGTATTTTTAATTTTTTCCTTACCTTTTTACTCTTGTTTATCATTATTAAGTTATTATTAAGAGACGTACTTTTACAAGCATAAAAATATCTGTGACACTGAGACCTTTCCATGATCTGTTGTGCTCGCCCTTTTTTTTTAATGTTCGCATCTAATTCCTATCAGTGATAGAAATTTTAAGATGCTTTCTGTGGCAATGTTTTTTAGCGATGGGACTGGTAGTTCACATTACTAACAATCCCTTCTTTTTTTTATACCACTGAGGTGGCAAACAAGCATACGGCCCACCTGATGGTAAGTGGTTACCGTAGCCTATGAACACCTGCAATACCAGAGGTATTACGCGTGCGTTGCCGACCCTGAAAAACCTCTTTACCCCCCTTTTGAAGAACCCCATGCTGTCTGTCATGCATGCATGTCTCTTGGGAAAACCTCGGCAGGGAGCTCATTCCACAACCTGAGTGTTCGTGGGAGGAAACATCTCTGAAACCGCGCAGTACGCGACCATTGAGGCTGTAGGACATGAGGATGAACTCCCTATCGATGGCGAGTCGTACAATGGTAGAAAGTGGCTGTGGGCATCATATTAAACAAAACCTCTGAGCACAATCCATTGTACACGCGGTAGAACACGCAGAGTGAGGCAAAATCTCTCCTAAAACTTAAGGGTTCGATACCGCTTGTGAGCTTGGGATCATCGACAATTCTCATAGCTCGTCGTTGCACTGAGTAGAAAGGTTCAAGCTGGTATTTAGGTGCTCCGGCCCATAAGTGACAGCAATACTCCATGTGGGGCCGGATTTGCGATTTGTAGAGCATTAATCGCTGATCCGGCGTGAAGTACTGCTTCTTTCTTCCTTTTCCCCATTATAGGTACTAGACTACACGAACCCATACTCACACAAATCCACATACATACACTCAAACACACACGATATAAATACCAGTTCAGCTTACTTTGAAATTAGATGGCGATACACTTCAATATATTTTTTATTTACTCATACATACAAATTGATGATTATATTGTTTTATTATTATTATATCAGCTGTTAACTGTCCACTGCTGAACATAGACCTCCCCTATGAGGAGTAATTTGCTAGTAGTTGCCACGTTTGGCAAGCGGATTAGCAATCACGGTTAGCCTTTGGTGATATTGTTCATCCCTCGACCATAAATTCTCTTAGTAGCTTCTTAAGACATTAAATGAGAAAGGAAGGGGTGGCCCATTCTACGCCGGGTCCTAATTACCATTGTGCAAGGTTAAAAATAAAACGCGATCCCTTTGCAAGTGATTCGAGAATAATAAAACAATAACATTTATTCACTATTGGTTACCAAACCTCATCTTCCATCTACTTTAGGTACAATGTTTTGTATTGAGTTTATAAATCAACAAAGCTTACATACAGGTTGATAGAAAACCGAATATTTTATCAGGTTACAATAAAAATGAAACTAATTAAAATAGTATATAACGTTTATATATTAATTACTTGTGTACCAATTTTCCATCAACATGTATATACAAAATACGTATTTATATATTCGACTTTCTTTACATAGATATATGTTTTATATTTGTTACTCTTCTCAATATGTTTTAAAGGTAATGTGTAAAAATACTTAATATATCATTAACAAATCAATATTTTCGTAATATAAATCATCTCATAGAAAAAACAAGATACATTATTTATTTATTTATTTTTATTTTTACTATTTTTTAAATGATCGAGATACCCGTATCGGTAGGTACCTTTGTACAAAATAGAAAGCTCTCCACAAACGATATTATTGAAATGAAACCACTAATGGAACCAATATAAAACGGGCCTAATACAAAACACACTAGCTCTCAAACAATTTCATCAATTATTCCCGTGGCGTGTCACGCATGCGTACTCAAAATATTTTATTACACTCTAACCGTTATGTGTCCAAACCTATATAATTAGTTTTAGTGGAAATTTAGCAAAACATAGTACAAAAGTTTTTAGAAATACCTACTAAAACTACCCAGCAATTAAAACGTTTACCCTATATCTATCACTATCGCACTGACACCCTTCGTATGTGCGCGAATGAGAGACGTTACGCGTCCCGTTTCGTTTTCAAATCGTCTGCACCATTCAAAGTCTACATTATATGAAATATAGAATGGACACGGCCTGTATGCGAAAAAATAGGCTTCGTATTTCAAAGTTTTTGGTTTTCTTTTTTTGTCAAATTCGACAAAAATATTACATTTTTGAAAATAGAATTCTAGATTACGAACTCGCGTAGAAACTAGTTGATTACAATCTGAACTCATTAATTAAACAAAAAACACACAATAAAAAGTTAAAAAAAAGAACGATTAAAAATTTATAGTTTTTCAACAGAATTAATTTTGAACACAGAAGCACTAAAGCCGGTTTACACGGGCAATTTTTGAGCAATAACTTCTTAGAAAATAAAAACATTCAATTTCCTATTGCACTATCTCTGGCCATCGTTACATATATAGATATTAAAAGCTCGATCTTTAATGATAACAAAATGTCCAGAATTGCACACCTAAATTGCCCGTACACGTATGTCTTTTGCACACCTAGATTGCCCGTACATCTATGCCTTTTTTACACACCTAAATTGCCCGTACATATCGTTTTACACATCTAAATTGCCCGTACATATCTTTTTACACACCTAAATTGCCCGTACATTTATATCTTTTTTGCACATCTAAATTACTCAAACACGTATATCTTTAGAATAAGAACTCATTGTTGATTACCATAGACAAATAATGAGTTCAGATTTGATTGCTTGTCTTAATTTTCATAAGTTTTTTTTTTATTGTTTTATCAATGTATTCAGCCGAATTTTCAGTCTTAGTGCTCTAAAACGTTTATTTATCGAGTTTAAAGTAAATTATATAATGGGGAATGTCCAATTGTTATAAACATAATAATTTCGTTACTCGTATTATACAAACATATAATTATGAAGTATAATTAAATAAATTAATAAAAATATAAGGTAGTAAAAATAATATTTACAAAGAATAAACGAAAAATATTAATATATAATATAAAATCAATAATTGATTGGCAAATTGCTAATAGCAACGTTATTAATTTAATTTCGCCGTATAATTATTTCAGATGTAATAGATTATTAGTTGAATTAGATTTGGAATTGGACAAGCCCCATTATTAAGCTAAATGAATCACTAATTCGTCTAATGTGCGCCTAAATTCTTATATTTAAACAAAAAAAAAAAGTTTTAAATATCGCTCAGTGAAAAAGTTACATTCACTAAAATCACTTGAATATAAGTTTTATATTTTTTTTTTTCATAACAATATCAATAAAACAAACGGGAATATATAAATGTAGCTATATATATATATACATATATATTGTGTTTAAAAATAATATATTGAACCACCCGTATATTTTTTACTATTATGTATCTCACTATTTATGTACGATTATTAGCTATATTATGTATTGTTTTAAATAAAAAATATGACGGTGCTGTAACGGGGGGGGGGGGGGATCAAATAATATTAATTCGTGTAAAAAGGAACGCATAAAAAGAAATTAACCAAAAAAAAATAAAACAAAATAAAACAAAACAAATAGACAATAACAGATTGCTTTATTTAACAAAAAATATATAATATATAGAAAGATAAAAAACAACACTTTCACATGATCGTTCAAGATTCGACATCCCGGCAGGTCATCGTGGAAAATTTGTTTTTCACTTTTTTTTAATAAAATGTAAAATTAAAATTAACCCATTGAACCTTATAATGACATTTAATATAAAATACATATGATTAATTACTATTTACAAAATACGAGTTAAGATTTATACTTCTTTTTTATTATTAATATAAACCAGTCTATAGTAAAGGCTATTCGACAAAACTTAGCGTAAATGTTAGAAAAATTGATGGTTAATATTTCTAATAGACGTAGCAGGCAATTTTAATATAGAAAAATGAGGAAACAAAGATTCGTTCTTGATACGTACATAAAAGTGCGTAAAGCGTAAAAAAACTGTAAGTATAATTTACGTATTACAAAAAAATATATATATAAATTACAGTAAAAAATGTACTTTAAAATTCAGTTGTACAGTTATTATTATGCATTGCTTACGGCATAATCTCTTGTTTATTATGCAAAAAAACAAATAATGTTGAATAAATTCCAAACATGGCACCAAAGCGAAGAACGTGCAAAAAATGAGATCAAATTTATTCTATGAAAATATGTAAATTGCCTGCTGAGACAGTACAAAATTAATTTGATCGGTACAAATTTGATTGGTTTATTTATTTATTCATTTTTCAATATAATAATAATAATAATGTTCGACTGCGATTTTGTTCAATGCACCGTACAATAATACGTTATATTCCATCTTATTATTAGTTTATATTAAGTTATTTATAATTTGAAAATTTTTCATCGCTTCACTTGTTCAAGCCAACGAAAAATAAAATATATAATAAAATGGGCAGTATTGTGTATCCTATATTACAACTTATATCATCTATGTTGAAGAGAAATAAAAAAAAAACATCAATAATAATAATCATTTGAAATAAATAACAAATTACAATATTCTTTATAAAAAAAATTGTTAAAAAATAATTAGGGACTAATAATTACAGTTCTGTTTAGAAAAAGAAAACTGTAGTGTGTACATTACGACGCTATAACGTTATAAATTTATTCACTTCTTAATAAAAACTCTATTACTATTATTATTTTTATATATAATTCTTACTTTCTCATCAAAGTTATACATTTATGATAATTATATTACGATACGCCTCTATATACAAACACACAACAAAACATATATGTATTATTATGTATTTATATAAAGCTCACAAATTCAGGTTCCATATATTCCCATAATCTACATTTGTTATGAAAAATAAGAGCATAACAAAAAAATAATATAATACCATCTGACATTACGTATGAAGTGTGAACACCTATAACGTGCCTAGATTCAAAATTAAATAAACATTTAAATATTAATATTGTACGTACGTACCTATACGTAAAATATCATTATAACAGTCTCAAAGTACATACATACAATTATAAATAGGTTAACAAATAACGTTCCAGGTGTCCACAGTTCAGGGGACAATCGAATAAAAAAAAATACATAGCTGTCAAGTCTTTAAATAAAAGTCGGCCTCACTACTGCCACCTCCGGATTTCGTAGGCAAAAATGAGATCGTACAAACCCCAATTAAGAATATAACCCATGGAATAATTTGGCGAAATTATCCGTGTGTATAATCTAGTACACTGTCTAAAGAGAATAGTTCTTTGTAGAGTGCTGGGAATACATGATGTGGATGTGCCGCTTTAAAGCGACATAACGCCTCCAAATGCATGAGCGATAGTTCTCTGTAACAAAATAAATGTAGTTGTTGTAATGTTACATATAATTCCATAATATATGTACTTAGTTATTTTATGATCTTACATTCCATTTGTCTCTGCTGGACACATAAAGGTAGGGACAAGTGAAAAAAAATCTACTATTACTCCCCAAGGGGGAAAGTTGGTAGGGGCAAGTGGAACTGGCCAATTAATTTCACATGAACGCTAATTCTGTATAGTAGTACATGTAACATATAATTTCAGAATATATGTACTTGATTATTTTATTATCTTAATTAATAATACAATAATTTTCTGTAACAAAGTAAATGTAGTTACATATAATATCAGAATGGATGATTGATTTAGAAACAGGTGATTCTAAAAGCTGAATAAAAGATAATAATTTAATAAATCTATTTATGTGTATTGATCAATAATATCATAACAAAGGATTAACACCCCACTGCTGGAAACAAGTATCTATACATATAATGAAACTGGTCGAATGTCTGTACATAGAATAAAAAAACGCTAAAAACTGAGTCATGGGGATGTTTAACAAATTTTTTAATTCTTTGTCTATTTGTCTGTTTGTAAAAATTAATCTGCAAAACTGTTGGACCGATTTAAATGAAATTTTTCATGGTGATACCTTACATCCTCGGTCAACATTTTAGATACTTTTGATCACGGAAAATTAAAGAGTTTCCGTGGGATAGTTAAAACACTATAGTAAATTATACAACTTAGTACACAACCTATTTAAGTAAAATTATTTTAACCTAAGAGTGAGAACACGTGTCACGTCACACAGTGACACGTCATTTGTTAATTTTGGTTCAGTATTCGGAGACATAATAAATAGGTAGGTACATACATCGATACATAACAAAACAGGAATAACAAAAATCATGCGGACAAAGTCGTGGACATCAGCTAGTCTCACATAAGAGAAAGCTTACTGTTTTCACGCTATTCAGAGTTCCAGAAAAGTTTACAAGACACCCCCTGTCCTAATTACGTTACGTAATACTTGAACGCCTTTTACATATTACATTACACATTTTTAATAGAATTTTTCTATAAACTGATCTAACTTAATTAGTACATATAAATTACATAATAATATAAATAAAATATACACATACCTGAAGGTGGGTATTTTCGCGAGCAATGTGTCCAGCACTGTGACGTCACCTTTGAGCGGTGCGTGGTTAGATTCGATCTCGTGGCGCATTGCCGCCATCGACATATTGAATAGACACTGGATCTCTGGATTGCCACGAACTCCATGCCGTTCTGTAAATTTATATGTAGCATAACCAGAATATGTACATATACAAAATTTATATAAAAACCAATAACCCGTCCCAGTTCCGTATAGTTGCAAAATCTGGACAATAGTGCCACTTGTCGGAATTAAAACTATCTAATTAAATCAAAAAACAATAAAAGCAAACAATACAACTTTACAATTTTTTATTAAAATCTCTAGAGAAATTTCAGAAATAAACGGATAAGACCCGGGCAACTTTCATTATGTTTTTTATATGCTTAAATATGTTTTATATTGAAACACTAAATAAATGGAAATAAAAATCTAAATACAATAGACAACTTACCTGGCCACAACAACACAAGACTCTGATACAAAGCCAACTCAGTCTCAGTCAATTTAAGTCGCGCGATGGTCTTCGCGGCGTCGAATATGCCCACCACAAGTGTCACATCCCGGGGGTCGCTAGAAACGAGAAGTAATTAAAAATTAATGAAAAAAAAAACTTGTACTGTGAGTAATTCTGAAATCTTCATCGGACGGGCTGTATGCTTGTTTACCACCTTTGTAGTATAAAAAAAATCTGAACTTAAGGAAGCGACAGAGAACATAAACTTTACACACATATCATCATTATCATATCAGCCGTTAACTGTCCACTGCTGGACATAGGCCTTCCACATAAAGCGAGTCTTGCCAGTAGTTGTCACGCTTGACATGTGGGTATACACATATATTTGTATTAAAATAACAATATAATAACAATAGATTTGTTATAATAACTCCTACGATTTTATACACAGGAATGGGATATATTAATTAAATAGTATAACAAGTATTCTAAATCAATATGGCACGTTGAGGCCACTAAGTGACACCAAGAAGTGACAAACTCCATTAAACTATAATGTTAGTAGAATTAATTTCTTCAAATATATGTGTTGTACAATTTTAAAGGAATTGAATTCACTGTCTGTGTTATAACTACTAAATTAAAATTAAATTTAACACATTAATATAAATAAATTACAAAAATATATGTAACACACCAAGTAAATTTTTATACGAATATATGTAACTCACCGCGCGTGAACACACTCCCGTATTGGCAACACGACGTCACCGTACAACACTTGTTCGCGGTTCACGTCGATCAGCCGCGACAGACGAACTATTGCCAACTCGAATGAACCTGTGGAATAATTTTACATTAATATTAATATATGAATATATGTAATGAATTATTATAAGACTACTCATGTGTTTCACATTTTAAGTAGTCGAAATGTTTCAGAAACATCAACGAAGTCATTCTTATATTTAAATTAATGTAACTAAAAGATTTCGTTAGAAATCAAATATGAAATGTATTACGGAAATAATGTGCTATTTTTTTCTTTTTTTATAAAATATTTACTTTTCCTAAATATTCGTAGAATAAAAAACTATGATGAAAGAAAATTTGAAAAATAAATATATGAAAATTATATCTTTTACCAAATGGAATCATTTCATATATATTTTATACCTGTTGTTACTTTAACTTTATCAAAATAAAGGATAAGAATTACACGAGAGTAAATCCACTCAATATATAAAGAACAAATGAAATCGGCTTAAAATTGGCGTAGACAGCCTCCACCTGTTCGAAATGGATTAAGAAAAAATCTTTATACATTTCCTACCTAATTTTTCTTGTCATTCTTTTAACATTATATTTGCTGCGATTCTTAAAACATCAATATTTCCTTGAAATTGTATGAGCTTATAATAGAGGTGCATCGTTGTACATCCTAGCCAGCATGATTGTGTATGGTGTGATTGTTTGTTATGTTGTTTTCTTTACAGCAACTAGAAACGAAAATCTCTAAAGAACTAGGTAGAGAGACAGTGGTTACTTGAATAGTTAGCATCATATATCATGGCCAGAAAGTTTTATAACTGGCCTAGTTATATACTACTTCATACAGTAAAACCACTGCCATTCTCAAACCACCCTCACCTTTTAGGGAGGAGGGACTGTTAATAATGCGGACGCTAGTCTCTAGTGCTAGTATATTATCTTTTAAGTCCACCTTCAAACGATCTTGATAAATCCTGGTTAATTCCTAGCGATGAGCCAACTAAACATGGCTTCATTCCCACCTATCATCCCTCACTGGTACCCCACCAGTGTATACCGATAGCACAGACCGCTTACTGATACCCCGCCAGTGTAAATAGTGCAGGCGGTTTGCCATTCCATTTTCATAAAAAAATTGTCTAAAATTTAGATAACAATACAATACTCACCTGACTTGAGCAGCAGTATCTGGTCGTCCTGAGAGAGTTTCATGAAGCCGGGTATCAGCTTCGCAAACTCTATAATGTTTTGTATCATCCCTGTCAACTTGTCCGCGCAGTCTAACCACATCTCCTCGTAGGTCATCGAGTTGTAAAATAAAAGTCTGTATCAAAAAATAATTTGATTTAAAGGATAGAATTGAATTCCTTGATTTTTTTTATTAAAAGTAAAAGGAAGAATAATTAAAATAAGGATAGGAAAAATTAAAGTAATTACACCTCCTAATTTATTGGGAATAGACCGAAGAATTGCATAGGCAAATAAAAAATATCATTCTGGTTGAATATGAACTGGTGTTACTAATGGATTTGCAGGGATAAAATTATCAGGATCTCCTAATAGATAAGGGTTAGTTAAAGATAGTCTAATGATTATAGGAATATATGTAACATTTAAATACATATAAATAATTAGTAAAAATCTATAAAATATTATAAGATAAATATTTAATTTTTAATCAACACAAGTAGTTACTAAAGATCTGTAAGAAATTATATAAATATACCTGAGGACTCTGGTGTTATACCTGTGTACTTTGTAAATTCACTGCCATATCCCATCTTTTAAACCAAAACACAGCCATGCAAATACAACACGAAAGGGACAGAGGTAATTGGTTACCTCAAACGCATTTTGTACAAAATCCCTTTGACAATATAGAAATATAATAATATAATATAAATTCCATCATCTCGTTTCCCATAACTTGCACACTCGAATATTTTTTTTTTTTTTTATTAAATGTCGATTAATACTAAAAAGTGTCACTTACTTAGAGACATCAGGTGGTTTTCTGAACATCTCGTGGACGTACTCCAACTTTGGATTTGTGTTCGCGTGTGCCTCAGCCAGACTCTTCACCAACACCTTGCTGATGTCACCTTCCGCTGGAAATATCATCAACATTTTTTTTTATACAACTTAGAATGGCAAACAAGCTGACGGCCCATCTGATGGAAAGTGGTAACCGTCACCTATAGACACGAGCAGTACCATGGACATAACATAGATACAGAATGTAATCATTTATTTATTAAAAAGTGTACATCTTAGTAAGTATATAAAATAACTGAATCCTTTGCTTGTTAGAATTAAGATAATTATCAAATATTTTAATTTAGAATATGATCTACCCAAATTTTATTAAATCATTTTGTTAAACAGATTTTAACATAATTTGTGATAGATCATAATCTACAATTTACGTATATTTAAGGGTTGAAAACTATTTATAAATTAACAATTTAATAGCTATATTTGTGTAACACTAACTACGACAATACGACATTTTAACAGATTATTCAATATTACCAAAACCTTATTTAAAAAAAAAAGTACCTTATAAAACAAACTTTAGCGTTAAATAAAAAAAAACAAAGATCGAGTAACAACAACATAAATGAGTTTAAAGTAACGATATTTTAAACATAAATAAAGTGAGCGAATACAGTAAATATCTAAAACGAAATAAAAAATAAAATATTAGAAGAAAATCTTCATCTACATTTTTATATAAAAAATAATAAAACAAACATAGAGTAACAATAACATAAATGAGTTTAAAGTAACAATGCTTTAAACATAAATAAAATGAGCCAATACAGTAGGTATCTAAAAGGAAATTAAAAATAAAATACTAAAAGAAACTTTTCGCCTAAATTTTACAAATAAGTGCATAAACTAGACAATTTTAGAACTGAATAAAAAAATAACATTATAACTACTATAGAGCAAAATATAAACAGATCTAAAGTTTTACTGTAAATAAATTATATTGATGTAATAGGTTATTTGAATGGAAGTAAATAAATATTTATAATAAAACACTACTCATAAAATAAACTAAAATTTACTGATGTATAAAATAAATAAAACACCTAATAAATTAACCCTTCTTTGCATAATGGTGGAAATTTCCATTATAACATTGAATGCCCAAAAATTATATAAAAGAACAAGTTCACTTTTAAGTTGATCGTGTCTGGATACCTTCTTGACGTCCATTACAGAAAAAACCCTTAACTGTCACATTTATTTTTTTAACCATTTATTCTTTAATTTTGAACATGAATTATGTCACCTTGATTTATTTCACCAATAAAAAAAATAATGCAAAGAAAGGTGAATATTTTCTATTTTTTTGTTGCAAAATACAAAAATAAAATTATTTACAGATATAGTCAATTAAAAAAAAAATTCTAAATTATGCTAATACAAAATTACCTACATGACTTTGTATTAACATACCATAGATAAAAAAAAAAAACAAACTTACGTATAACAAAAAATATATAAAAACTATTTGTAAATTTTTTTGTGGTTTGTAATAAATATGGCATTATGACATCAGAATGACAGTTTAAAGTTTACTAAATAAAATTATTATAAAAATAATTTAAATATGGCTATGGAGCCAATAACAGCTTTTATGCTTGGCGCGTGTTTGATTGCTTGTTGGCGTAAGTACTCTTTCAATATTATTAAAAATTCAAATGCTGGACGCAGTTACTGTATTACAAAACATCAGTAATTTCAGTCGTTAAATAATTAAAGATTGTGTTCAACAAAAAAAAACCGAATACAAATATTTTAATTTAAAAAGTGAACATCTTATAATTTCGATAATATAACTATAAGTATTGTTAATACTTTTTGGTTTTTCAAAATTTAAAGCTTTGATTGCGTGTGTTCAATTTTGACTGTCGTTTATTATAAAAATAGAAAATTTGTAGATGGTTTAAACATCAAGTGATATTGTGTGTTCGTTTATATATATATATATATATATATATATATATATATATATATATATATATATATATATATATATATATATATATATATATATATATATATATATATATATATAATTTATTTGTTTGCCCTTATAAACTGTATAAGTGAAATTGACAAAATTCTTACTACCAATCCTTGGGGAGTTCTCTTGCTGTTCAAGGAACAAGGTTCAAGGTACGAATATCATTAAGTAGTATATCCTTTTAGAGAAAAAAGAATTTTCCAAATGGGTTTAAAAATAAAGGAGGATTAATAAAATACAACCTTTTTTTAAAGTTGGTTAATAGATATATTCGAATCAACACAGGAGTGAACCTTATAGATTGCAAAAATAATTACGAAAATGAATTCAGATTTTGCGAATTAATTGTATAACATAATTGCAAAAAATTCAGACAAATTGAAAATTGCTTTTCAACCGACTTAAAAAACCACGAGGAAGTACTGGATACGGTTGTATTTTTTTATGTTTGTTACACCATATCTCCGTTATATACTGGGAATAGAAAAGAATAGAAGAGGAAAACATATTAGGCCGACCCCAAATAATAATTGAGATAAGGGTAGGAAGATGATGATCTCCGTTAGTTATAAATCGATTTGCAAAATTACTTTTTTATTTAAACTTTCAGATTAGCCCCATAGAATCTTTACACCAAAATCGATTTAGTTATTTAGTTTTTGAATCAAAATAACTGATTTTGCCCCAACTGTAATATTTTTTTTTTTTTATTTTCCTGTATTATGGTAGTCCTTTAACAAGTTGAGTATTGAAACAACTGTTACAAGCGTTCATAAACTATGATGACCACTTAATATCCGACAGGCCGTATGCTTGTTATTTATATTTGTAATAAAGCGTTTCTTTCTTTCTAGCATGCTACTTGCCCTGCTGTCTAGCGCTACCTATAATTTCCCTTCCTTTTGTAATTGTTCGTGAATCTAGCAGTTCGAAATGGAAGAAGCGAAATTTTAACTGTAAGTATATTGTTGTTGTCGATATAGCGCCATCTCGTGTTAAAAGTTAGGCAACCTTCATTATATACTGTTTAGGTGCAAACTATGTATTAATAAACTCTTTAGTAAAATTTGAAAATAGAAAAAGAAAAATGTTGTTGCCTAGTAACGTTAATATTTGTTGGTATTCTAAAAATTGACTTTTGTCTAAAATTGTCTTTACAAATGTTTTAATATAATAGCGCGATACAGTGTTTTATATATTTAGTGTGTGTTGTGTTATAAATAAACTGTCAATTATTTGGACTATAAAAGAGACTAAATCTATTGTGATATATTAATGCTACTTCTACTTTCACGCTGGTCACATTTCCACGTATATCTACTTCTAACAAGGTAGGTATTCAAGTGCTACTCTAACATATCCCCATCTCTCCCAAGAGACTACAGCATGGGGTTCTTCAAAAGGGGGGTAAAGAGGTTTCTTCAGGGTCGGCAACGCGCGCGTAATACCTCTGGTATTGCAGGCGTTCGTAGGCTACGGTAACCGCTTACCATCAGGTGGGCCGTATGCTTGTTTGCCACCTCAGTGGTATAAAAAAAATATATATATACTCGGACTCGGGGTCGGTAATATACAGCAATATCTATATATTTCAGTTACAAGAACTATATACTGGCCCAACAACAATAACAGACATTTACAAATATATTGTAAATGTTTTGTTATTCAATATTTAATATCGAAATGAAGACCTCGATCAAAATTAATATAGATATCCGACTGCTACGGGCGATATTGGAATGGGTATTGACCTTTTTTCCGCCACTAATGTCCAATAAAACTCAGTGTTACCCACTCCTACGAAGGAATCTGTCAGCCTACGAAACTACAAGTATAGTTATTACGTGTCCTCCAAAACACGAATCATAAGATATTTTATTAAACTCCTCTATTTATACATAAATACGTATAAAAATCAATCGTCGAATGTATGGAAGCGCCTCACTTCAGAACGATTGCATTTATTTGGTGAAATATTTTTTATTTGTAACGACAAAGTTTGTATGAAAGAATATGCTTGAAAAATAGCATAGATAAGTAAAAATTTTAAGTATTTAAACAGGAGACTTGGTCTCATTCTCTTTATAAGTACATCCGTGAATACTTCAACAGTACATAATAAAACTGAATTGGGCATCTAATATTTTATAAATTTCTAAATGATTTATTTATGTATTAATCCAGATCTCTCTCGATACCTGCTCTCTTTCTTCCTTCTCCTATTTATTTGTATTAACATTAAAATAAACAAGATTTTACAAAGTTTTAAACAAAATTTACCTACATAACCTAACATACTAAATGCTGCTAATAGAATTTTATTAATTATTGTAATTATTTTACTTTTAGGATAACAATTGTAACAATTACTACATAGTTTAGACAAACAGTGGATTCTTGTTGAAGAAAAAAAGAAACGTAACATAATTCAATTTTGTAACTAGTATTTGTAAATAAAATATGACGTCTAAATCCTAATATTATTTTTATTATAAAAAAAAAGAAACATATCTCATCCTTAAAATGTGATGCAATAAAAAAATATATAACAAGTCATTAAAAACAGAATGAGCTTAATAGACTGTTTAAAATAAAATAAAAAATCAGAATGCTACAATTTACTACTATACATATAAATGTAAAAATATCAAACTACAAGTGTACATAAAATTAAATTAATAATCTTGTAACAATATAAAGGAATGTAAATATTGAACTCGGTCAAATAAAAAAATAAATCTAAGCAAATAAAATACGAAATAGCAACCAAAAGTGTAATTCTAAACAAAGACACTGAGTAAAATACAACATGTGCGTTGAATTTATTGTATGTCAAAAACTCAGTAAACTCAGTAAATATTAAACTCAGTGTATAAACAAAAAAAATATAATAAACATCTATAGTTGTATTACAATTTAATCTAGCGTAAAATATTGCAGATGCATGATAAAAAAAAAAGATAATTTAAAACAAGGCAACCAGTGGCAACCAAACGGCAAACTTACACGGCAGGTCTTCAGAACTCGACGATCCACTGTGACTTGAACCGTGATGTCTTCTATTCGTGACAGCGTTGGGGTTAACCATCCCCATACCAGATATATTCATATTTAAAGGGTCTATCAACCTTCCGTGTCCACTACTGGACGTCAAGTCATCTGGGCTCAGTTCCTCGCTTGTTAACGAGACAGAATTCTGCCCGGACACCAACACTGAATTCTGTATGTCCATCGGACTATGTTGGATGTTAGATGGACTGTGCAGAAAGGTTGTTGAGTCCACATAACTGGCAACCAGGTTGTCTACGCCCATTGACGTCTCCGGCTTGATTTCCTGCTTAATACTAATAACTCCGCTGGATATAGAGGCTGGAGATTGAATTCTGTCCTCGTATCTATCGAATTCCTGTATTCTAGGCCTCGGCATGTCAATGGTTGACTGTCGGAGGGTGGTTGTCGATGTGGTTGCTGTTGTGGTTGAAGTGGAACCTGGTGGTCGTACTATGGCGCTTTTTGGCTGGTCGTCTATTGAAAATGTTAGCATCTGTTAATCGTTGTAACCTACTAGCTTGTTAGATTATTAATAAAAAAATCTACCTGCCTAGTTTTTTTTTTTTTTTTTTTATTAAGTTTTCTCATGCAATTATTAGCGAACGCAAGGACATCGTGATTCATGAATATAAACAAACGTAGAGATAAAATCACTATGCTGATATTAATCATAAATTAAACTCTTTTATATCCGATACGTAAAGGACCTATGGTAAGAAAAAAGAGACACCGCAGTATTCCTTCTCGCTCGCTTCTTTAACCATACAAGCAGTGACTTCTTAGTCTTTCAAATCCAATATAGGACTGTTTGCTAAATATTTCATTGAAATTTAGTCATATGCCTTGCGCTAAAAACATCGAATGAAGTTGTTTCTGCCCTATACAGTGAATATGCAAACTAATATACTAAAACACAAAACTTAGACCATTGTCATAATTATAAAATGACTATTTTTGTTGATTTTAGTATGAATGAAAATGGAACATTAAAACAATGTAGCTCATTGAAATTATTTGTTTTGTAATTTTCCCAATACCTAAAGTCACTTGAATATTATTTAAAAATAATTAATGGGTTTGTGAGAATCAGTAGTAAAAGCATAAAAAACTGATTTGCAACAGCTCAAATACTTAAGTAGGGGGGAAAGGGATTGTTAGTAATGGAGGCTGAGAATCCCATTGCTAGCAATATACCCAACCTGGAAACTATCATGGTTAATTCCTGATGAATTCATCATGATGGGCTAACTGGCCTGTTTTCATTCTCATCGATCACCCTTCACTGGTGCTCCGCCAGCGTATCCCGTTAGCGCAGGCGGGGTTACCATACCATTTTCACCTATCAAAAAAAAATGCTTAACTATCAAAATAAAGCTCACCATGTCCGATAAAGTCGGCATCCAAAAAACCTCCGGTCTGCTTCGGCTCGTATGCTGTAGTGGAGTCGACGTAATCTGCCGACACATCGTAGGGTTGCTGCTGGGGCGCCTGGGGTTGTATATTCATATTTGATGTAAGAGCTGGCCCCGCGTTCCCTCCGTACCCGTACGAGGAGAGAGGCGAAGCGTAGCCTGGGTAGCTGGAATACAAAAAAAATATAAAATATGAGTTTTGATATCATTTATAAAACATATTTTAAATACACTATTAGTATTTAACGAGAATCGATTGCAAATAAATATTCAAAATTAACTAGTTATCAACCAGGTGTAGAATATATATCTAGTTGCTTTTTAAGAGTCGGCAACGTATGCGTGACACCCCTGATATTGAACAGGCGTCCATAGACATCAGACAGGACGTATGCTTGTTTGCAATCTTGAGATTTTAAGAAAATCTAGTTTTTATACAAAATTTGTGAGTACAATAAGTACTCATATCAGCCGTTAACTGTCCACTGTCGAATATATATACTGTCCATCACAAGAGGGTTTTGTCAGTAGTTGTCACGTTTGGCAGGCGGGTTGGCAACTGCAATTAGGATTAGATGTTGTTTTAAGAGGGAAGCTGCTGTCCATACTTTGACCATAAAATTCTCATAGTCGCCTCTTATGACACCCACGGGAAAGGAAGGGAGGCCCAATTCTATGCTAAGACCATGGTATAAAATTTGATTTAATTTTATTAAAATAAAATAAACGACTGAAATTTGAAACAAAGTATCAAAACAGTAAAATATGTAGTTATAATAGATTTTCAGATCGTTTTGCAAGAATTAATAAGGGGGTAATTCTTTTTTGTTTCTTACCTAAATCGATATAAAGTATAATGAAAGTAATTAATGAAATGCATTTCAATTATAGGAGGAAATAATAATATAATAGAAAATTTAATAATGGGGCCTTCGCTAGTCTTTCTTATCAGACATTAATGGCGATCTCCAGGAAATTATTGTGGTTATTTCCTGATGGACTCGTCACAACTGACCTCATGAAGTCAGTTAATTTATCTACGACCCCTCACTGGTATCCTATCAGTGTAAATTAACAGCAATAACAAAAATACATAAAAACAATTCACAAAAATCCCGGTTGAACTAAACAGTGAAATAAATAATGACTAAGTTGGCATTAGTGTTTTATGATTTTACTAAGACGACCACATTCTATTATAAGAAATTAATTGAAAATTGTTTTCTTGTAAGAAGTCAATTAGAAAGAAAAACTATGCGGTCGCACGGCCTACACACAAACACGTGACACCGCCATCTATCAACGGATACAAGAAACATTTAATACCGCTACTCGCTACTAGACGTCGCTATTTACATTTACCGTTGTGCATCAACGTCGGGCGGTTACCGTTGCACGCCATTCAGTGTCACGCACATACCGTTGCCAGCAATAATGACATCTGATGCACCGCTGACACGAATAGACGTAATGAATTATGGGATAACAACGGTATTGTACCATTGAGGAGACAAAGTTAGCAAACAAGATACCCACCGGTGTGTATCTACCGGTAAGATGGCAACACTCGATTCGAGATTAAAAATTATTTAATTATTTTAAAACGTGAATTACAATTTTTAAAGAGAATTGAAGTTTATACAGATATTTTAGATATTTTTACTATCATAAGTGGCAGCTATTATATTCACATAACTGGGATATGCTTTGAAAAATTTAATTCTAATATAATCTATGGTATTTTCTAAAGAATTTGGTCAAATATACTTAAAAAAAAAACATTAATGACGTACTACAAGTGGCGTTATATATGGAAAAGAAACCCTACATTATGTTATTGTTTAAAATTCTTATCCCATTTGTATTGGTAAGTCCATTTTGAAACTTTGAGTACCCTTTTAGGAACCCCTGGCAAAGCCTATAAATATTTTTTTCAAGTACTATATATTACATGTAATATATATGAACTAACAATCTGTAAAACTATTACAAATATCAAAATGATACCATTAGTAGTTGCTGAGATATAACGCTGTGACAGACAGACTGACAAAGTCCGTCCTTGTCCGTACCGAAAAAGTATAAAAGAATCGTACCTTTTGGGTAGGGAACCTTAAAAGAGGTTACATTCTTTTATACTTGAAATCCTATGTTATCGTCATCGTCATATCAACCGTTCATTGTCCACTGTTGAAACTGGACCTCATATAACATATAGGAGGTTTTGTCGTAGTTGCCACGATTAGCAAGCAAATCAAATGCAATTTAACTAAAATGACAATTATTATTGCTAGATAGATGAAAGAAGAATTACGAAAGAGATTTATCGAGCAAGAATGAATGGAGATGTCGGTAGGGGCCGCCCTAGACGGACATATGTCGACCAAATAGGCGACGTGCTGAAGAAGGGCCAAATTAAAAGTATCCGTAACCGGCGAGCGTGTATGACAAGATTGATGAATGTGGAAGAAGCGAAAGAGGTTTGTTTGAATCGAAGCATTTGGCGTTCCATTGTTTCTGCCTACCCTAATGGGAGACGGACGTGACAGAAATGTATGTATGTATGTATTGCTAGATATAGTGTTAATTGCGACCGTTAAACCTATTAACGGTTATTTAAATATTTAACATAAATAACATACAGTTGTTCAACAAAGTGTAGAGAGAGAGAGAGATAACTACAAATTGTTTAGTGTACTTAAACATTTGTGTTCAGTTAGTGTTGTGCCAGTTACACACTTTATGACAAATTTCCGCGTATGTGACACCAATTGGCTGAGTTTTATCGCGCTCTTGGCTGGAGGTGTGACGGTGGAATTTTTCTGTCGCATTGTGAACTCTGTGTAGATCGGTCGGTTACCCTTGTGTTTGAATTAGGTTACTCTTATTTTAAATTGTTAATTTTAGACTTATTATAGCAAAAAAAAAGGAAAATTAACTAGGTTACTCTTTTTTACTACTATAACATGTAGTATATTTCATTTACTACTAGCGACCCGCGCCGGCTTCGCACGAATTTACATTACGTCATATCACATTTGAAACCTCTAAATTTATCAGTGTTTCTCTACAATATTATGCATGTATTCTACATATAATCCTTCCTCTTGAATCACTCTATCTACTAAAAAAAAAAACGGATCAAAATCCGTTGCGTAGTTTTAAAGATGTAAGCATACATAGGGACGAACAGACAGCGACAGCGACTTTGTTTTATACTATGTAGCAATCATTATTTCAGAATTTTATTTTACAGCGTTTTTTTATAATTTTAAAAGTTTTGGTTTAACATTTATAATTGAAAAAAAAAAAAAAAAACATTTAAATAACTCTGAAGGCACTTTTAATCCTTAATATTATAAATTTTAAAGTAAGTTTGTTTCATTGTTTGTATAAGCTTTATTGTAGATTTATTTTTAATACAAATAACAGGTTGTAAACTAAATAACAAGGTACATGGGCGAAGTTATCCCTTGAAGGGATTTCTCCCAATTAACCTTAGGAGAAACAGTCAACATTGGAACCAACCCGAAAGGAGTATCTGTAGGGTTTATATATATAAAGTTTGTTTATTGCTTCTTGATTTCTTAGCGACCTAATTGTCATAAAATTTATATATACACGGGTACATGGTCCTTCATACCAAGTGGTAATTTCCAAATGAATTCCAAATTGGAATGATGGACACAGGCAACTTTTTATCTTGATCAATTAATATATACCGGGAATGCAAATAATATTATGGGTAAAAATTTGTGTTATATACCATTATTTCACTTTCTTCTTAAAGAAATGTAGATGAAACAGAAGTGGAGATGGGCAGGTCATCTAGTAAGATACAAAGATAAAAGGTGGACTCTCCAAACAACAAAATGGCGAGGTCCAGCAGGAAAAAGAAATGTTGGAAAGCAAAGAAAAAGATGGACTGATGACATAATAAAGACAGCAGGTTATAAATAATATTATTTCACAGAATGCCGTATGGTCTCGGCATAGAATGTGCCACTCCTTTCTTTCCAGTAGGTATCGTAAGAGGTAACTAAAAGAATTTAATGGTCAAGGAATGGGCAGCAGCGTCCCTCTTAAAACATCACCAAGCCTAACTGCAGTTGCCAACCCGCCTGCCAAGTAAGGCAAGTGGCAAAAACACCCAATGAGGACGCCAATGTTTAACAGACAGACAGTAAACAGCTGTATCATCACTTCATAGAATAGAGTTCACCTCTACACCTATATATTTTAGAAATACCTGCATCTTTTGAATAACAAATAACAATTACAAGGCTTGTCTTATACCTGGACTTATATTTACTTCAATATCAAATAGGGTAGAATATATATGGTTATGATACATCGTCTAGACAGTATAGTTCTTTTATAACATGTCTGCATCTTGGCACTTCATATTTTTTTCTATAGAATGTTTTAAATGACACCACTTAATTACAGATGCTTGACAACAGACGGCGTTACTTACCCATTATAATGACCATGGAATTGGTCACTGGAGCTCGGCGTCTGTTGTTGGGCGTCATACACCGAGTCCGGAGCGGCGTCTGTCTGTGCTCTCATCTGCGCCCGATGGTAGCGCACTTCATCCTCGACCTTTTCGCGTTGTTTCTTCGACATCCGACCGAATTTCACCGCTGTAAAAGATAAAGAATGCATTCGTAAAAAATTAGTTCATCCACTCACCGTCAATAGCGCTGTTAGATAACAAACAAAAAATGTATGCGATAATCCGAAAGTGTTCTATTCGCCGCGAGAAGCGCTGTCGTCGCGTGAAAAATAAATGACATAACCGGGGAACTCTGTTTCCAATCTATTCCCATAGCTCCTTACTAGATATTCTCACGAAAAAAACACTAAAATCAGTAAGCACTCGCGTCTTCACAATACAATGCAATTAGTATGTTCTCAATGACACCTAGCAGCATCGCGCGGTTACTCAATACCTCACTACTACTACAGTTGTAGCTGTGTGCGAAACGCGTTTGTGTTGTTTAACGTAATTGTGTGCGTTACTAAGCGGCCTTTGATTGGTGTGTGCGATTTCTTCGTCGATGTGTGCGTTCGGGACACATCGGCCGTTGGCACACTGCCTAGTGGAACAACGAACTCTCGAACTTCTGACGTATGTATGTATACGTAAAGTACGTACGTGTGACGTATAGCTACGTAACGCGTCGCGGTCCCGTTCGGTGTAACGCGACCGGATCGAGACGCGCACGGGTCGTTCCATCGTGCATTCAGTTTAATGACCTACCGAATTCTATCGGATAATTTGTCGATTTGGTAGGAGTATATTTTTTTTTATGTGCAGTTGTAAATTTTCGGTCTATGAAAAGTTTTCTTTGTAGGAAGTTCGATGAACTTTAACGCAACCAATTTGAGTGGACCTCTCTTATAAAGAGTTATCTATGATCGAAAGATTGATAAATGTTGGTTATCCTAATTATTGTTATAGGCGTATTGGAACAGCGACCTCTAGCAGGCGGTATATTGTCCCACATTAACAGCCATACGAAATAAAAGTTAACAATAGATTTTCTGTTTGTGCTTGAAACATAATAAAATTTTTACTGTAGCTAAAAAATATTGGTGATTAATACTAAAAAGGTTTATCTTTGTTCATTTTCCAATAAATTTTCGTTCCAAAATGAGCTTGTCAATTCGTCTGATTTCAATGGAATTTAAACAGAAGTAGTATCTCAATTCGATTGTATTTTCTTTTTTATATTTATTTCTCATTAACTCCGTCAGTTCTAAATCGATTTGGATTTTTTTTATCTGAAAGAATACACTTACAGATTGGTTTCATAGAAATTTCATCAAAATCGATTTAGTAATTTAGTTTTTATATTAAAATAACTAGTTTTTCCACAATCAAAGTAGTTTTTTTTTTTTTTTTTTTAAATATAATATAAAAGTTTGTACAAGGTTTTAGTTTTTATGAATAAGAGGGGAAAGGAAGGAGGCAAGACATTGTATCTTGGTATGAAGATTGAAAATTTGGATTCATCACGATAGGCCAACTGATCTGCTCACATCCTCACCTGCCATCCCTTCTTGCTGCCCCACCAGTGCATACCGATTTATTTAAATATACAGAATTACCTTCTTACCAACAAAAATTAACCACGATGGTTTCTGTAGAGAACCGTGTGGAGGTCGAATAAATTAATTTAATTTATATTAATATATGGGTATACTCATATTGCAGCTCGAAGGAATCACCATTATAATAACTATTTAAAAAATCGCTTAATAAAAATTCAGATAAATTTATTTATAAATAAATAAATAAACAAATTTATTTATTTATAAATTAAACAAATAAATTTATGTACATTTCAAAATGAATAAATAAATAATTTTATTTGAAATTTTTAAATTTAACATTAAAGATAAATTTAGAGCTCCGGACTTCCTTTCTTCTTTTAGGAATTGCCTAAAAGTTTTAACATTTGGGTCATTGTGTATATCATGAGAACACAAATAATACACTGTTAACATAAATAACCGGGTGTCCATGCGTGGCGTTACGTGCACAGAACGTTGATCGATAGATGTGCGAGTATGTGTGTATGTAACACTTGCACATTGCACAATACATTGGGATGGGCCGTTATCGATCCGTCAACAATATCGATATTTTAATTTTTTTTCAATTGACTCCAAAAAGGATGTTCTCAGTTCGATTGTATTTATGTTCGTTACCTCATAACTCCGTAAGTTCTAAACCGATTTGGAAAATTGTTTTTTATCTAAAAGTATATACTTGCAGATTGGTAGCGTAGAAATTTTATGAAAATCGGTCTCAAAGAAAGCTAAAAATAATTTGTCGCAATTAAAGTCAGTTCTTTTTTGTAGAATTGCAAAAAAAAAAAATGTTGTTACAACCAGTTATTTAAATTTAAAAATTAAACTACTAGACGGATTTTGATAAAATTTCTACGAGACTAATCTGTAAGTATAACTTTTCAAATAAAAGAATAATTTTCAAAATCGGTTCACAAATAACATAATTATGAGGTAACAAACATAAAAAAAAAGTACACATTAAGAATCTTATTCTTAATTTAAATCGGTTGAAAATGTATTATTTTTATTTTTAATCCCTTCTCATAAATTCCAACTCTAAAATGTGTGTCTGCTATGTAAATATTATCCTGTTGATATATGTATATCCATTTGTAATGTCAAAATATATACTTAAATATATCTCGGCTGTCAACAATGTGTTTGTTAGAATTATATTATTTAATTCTTGTTTGTACGAATGACGTAGATTGATACGATGTTATGACAGTTTGTTTTCTTTAATTATTTACATTATTTTCTTTAAATGTAGTATATATTTTGATTTTTTTTTTAAATATATTATCGACCCAAATAATACAAATTAATGTTTCTATATTTCATTTAAGAAATAAGATGGTATAATAACAATTTTTTTTAAAGCAACAGCTGCATTTCTTGCCGCTTGTTCTTGGCTGATATTGCGTTCCGAATGGGCGGTAATAAAAAAATTTACCATTCAAAAATGCTCAAGTCTATGTTTACTTGATTAAAAATATTTCTTTCTTATTTTTTTTTAACAAACTATATGTGTGTTTTGGGGATCTAATTTATTAATATCCTTATTAATGTTATGTATGTGAAACTGAGTTTGTTTGTTATAAAATGGAATAGAATAGAAATAATCTTTAGTCACATACAATTTATAGTTCAAAGTTTCGTAAGCGCACTATATTTTAATTACCGGTTTAACTTACGTGTAATTAGAACGAACAAGCTAAATCGCTCATGACTAAGGATCACGAATTGATTCCGAAACTAATCCAGCTTTTTCGATCATATAAACTTGTTCACAAGTTCTTTTAAATCGGCAATTTTTTTATAATTGTGCTGCTAGCAGTACAAACATTAATCAATATTTGCCGAGAGGAACCCGTAAGAAACTCAACAGTTACTCATTTTAAATTATTATGTACAAGATAATATTACATTTTAAATTTGATATACATATACGTATATGGGATAGAGAATATACAGACTATTTTGTATCCTGCTCAATGAACTTATCCCGCTTATTCGGACGAAGTCACGATAAAAACTAGTATTAAAATAAATTATAAGTATATTAATTAGTTATTATTTTCTAATTAAATTAATGTATCTAATTTAAAGTCAATCAGAGTGACAGTGGTAGACTCGCCACCAGCCACGTCGATTCTAATGTGTTCGGCGAAATGTGGGTATGTTGACTATTATATTGGTAAAAGATGCAGTATACCTCTGTCTACCCCGTTAGCAATTAAACGAGTAGATACCTATCATTTTGATAAACAATAGATTACCTTTATCAACCGACTTAAAAAAAGGAGATTCTCAATTCGATTGTATTTTTTTATGTTTGTCACCTCATAACTCCGTCAGTTTTTTTTTTTTTTTGGATGGGTGAAAATGGTATGGTAACCCCGCCTGCGCTAACGGGATACGCTGGCGGAGCACCAGTGAAGGGTGATAGATGAGAATGAAAACAGGCCAGTTAGCCCATCATGATGAATTCATCAGAAATTAACCATGATAGTTTCCAAGGGGAAACGCGAGAAGGTCGACCTGGTTAGGTATATTGCTAGCAATAGGATTCTCAGTCTCCATTACTAACAATCCCTTTCCCTCCTCTTATTTATGTTGAGAACTCATTTTCTCCAACACTACATATATGTTTATGTTAAACACCAACCACAACCGACTCAGTGTCATCAAATAATTACTAATTAATTTTTAATTAATTACACTTGTTTTAACTACGCGCGCGCGCGTGTGTTTTTTTTTTTTAATTACACTGCAATGTGCGTGACAAAGGCATATTTTTCAGTAAATCTGCCAATCGGGTCATTAAAAAACACGGTTAGAGTTCGACCACCACAACCTCACCTTACAGTAATAATGGTGTTAACGAAAAATGAACTCAAACTACACGGTATATGGTATATTTTTGGATTTTACTTGAAAATATTGGACTATACAGGAATTGAGGCTGTCTACGTGGTCGCCATTTACTCAACAGGGACACCTTTTCACCAGTCTACTTCCATAGCCTATTTCGATAAAATATAATAATTAATTCTTTCCCGTGGGTGTCGTAAGAGGCGAATAAGGAAACTTAATAGTCGAGGGATGGGCAGCAGAGTCCCTCTTAAAACACCACCAAAGCCTATTTGCAGTTGTCAATATGCCTGCCAAACGTGGCAACTACTGGCAAACCCCTCTTTATAGGGGAAGCCTATGTCCAGCAGTGGATCTTAATGATAGATATGATGATGATAATTATGTCCCACAAAAACACAATTACGATTGTAACAAAACCAGTTATTTTGATTTAATAACTAAACTACTGAACCGATTTTGATGAAATTTCTATGGAACTAATCTATAAATATATCCTTTTAAATTAAAATAAGAATTTTCCAAATCGGTTTACAACTGACGGAGTTATGAGGTAACAAACATAAATACAGTCGAACTGAGAACATCTTTCTTTTTGAAGTCGGTTGATAAACGTAACTAAGTCTTGTTGAAATTATCACAGGAACATTCTCTAAATTATTTTTTTATACCACAGAGATGTCAAATAAGCATACGACCTATCCGATGGTAAGCGGTTACCGTAGCCTGTGAACGCCAGCAATACCAGATGCATTACGTGCGCGTTGCCGACCTTGGAATAAAACCTCTACACATTTTTTTTAAAACCTCAAGCTACATTCCTCTCGGGGAACCAGCAACTCATACAACTTATATTTTTATATTTTAATGTTTGTCAAACACAAGGCATGCTGTGGTTGCCTATAAATGTAAGAACAGTGAGATCTGAGCTGCCAGTGTATTGTATTTAAATTTAGCTTTATTGTAGCTGTATCTTATGTTGGTAATCCTATAAATAAATAAATAAATAAACTCGTTCATTCCATAACCACAATATCTATAAACAAACAATGAAAATAATAACGAATCGAAATATCAATTCAACTAATCGACTTTTGATTTGAACTATTATTAAACATTATTAGAGTGTCTTGTGGTTGGCGCCTACGCTAACGGTATACACTGGCGGAGCACCAGTAAGGGATGATGGGTGAAGATGAAAAGGCAGGTCAGTTAGCCTATCGTTATAAATACATTTAGGAGGGGGGAAGGGATTATTAGTAATTGGGAGGTTAGTCCCCATTGCTATCAATATACCCTATCAGGTCGACCTCCACGCGGTTCCCCCTGGAGACCATCGTGACTAATTTATCGTTAAATTCGTCCCGATGGGCTAAATGACCTGCTTTCATACTCATCTATCATCCCTCACTGGAGCCCAGCCAGTGTATACCAATAGCGCAGGCGGGGTTAACATTCCATTATCACCCATTAAAAAAAAAATAATGTTTAATTGCGGACACCGGCTCAAAACATCATTGAGCAGTTTCAATGCAAGAGGGGAGCTTGCTTAGCCAACTCTGTTCTTCTCAATGGAATCTACACTAATATTATAAAGAGGAAACATTTGTATTTTTTGTGTATGTATCTTTGTAATGAATAAACACAAAAACTACTTTGCCGATTTCAAAAATTCTTTCACCATTAGAAAGCTACATTCACTCTGAATTACATAGGCTATATTTATTGCTAGAAAAGATTAGGGATCCTTACTAAAACTTTAGTAACGTAACTCAAGGTGTAAAAAAATGCTATAAAATATCTATCGTCGCGTGCGCTGCGGAAACTATTGGTGATAGAACAAAAGTGTGTTCTACGATATTGAGGAAAACATCAATAACTACAAAAAACTTCGCGATACTATATGTCCAACTATTATCGTTATGTCACAATAACCACTTTTTAAAATGTTGTGAAAATGTCCACCTGTGCGAAGTCGGGACGGGCCACTAGTATCAAATAAGTGTCATCTACGTGCTCACACATAGCGAATGCTCCTATTGATATGGATACCAGTACAGTTTGGTTAATTTTCACCCCCCGTACTAATTTTAATTAATAGTATTATCGATATATCGATAATATTGCGAGCGACCCATCACTATTCGTTACGTGCTATTGCGCAACGTAAACGCGTCAGTGAGTTCCTTCTGCGACGCGCTATCATGCAACCACTTGGATTGTTATGGAATTGCATTGTAATTATATACATTACTAGCTACATCCCGCGGCTTCGCTCGCGTGCATCACTACGTACAGTGCTAAGTTAGGATATAACCTGTCCGTGTACCAAATTTCATTCAAATTATAATATTAATATTATAAATGTGAGTGAGTTTGTTTGTCTGTTTGTCACTTTATTGCGCATTAACAGCTTAACTAATCACTATGAAATTAGATATATACGTACTATATGGGATGAAGAAGTATATTAGCTACTTTTTGTCCCGGTCAATGAACATATCCCAGTCATATGGACAAAGACACGGGTAAAAGCTAGTAGTTTATAAATGCGAAACTTTGTAAGGATTGATAGATGGATGAATGTTTGTTGTTCTTTCACTCAAAAACTACTGAACAGTTTTGAAGGAAATTTGGTCTCACTACTAAGTACGATATTAGTCTATCATCTTCAAGCCTTGCCCCTTATGGGGTAGGTAGTGAAAACCGAGTGTTAACACACAGTAACGACATTACACCATAACAGAACGCCATAAAAAAATATAAAAAGTTCTACATCAACATAACTACCATAACAAATAATTTATAATAACATAACCACGATAATATTTAAAACGATTTTCTTAATCTCTCGCAGTTAATAAATGGAGAACAAACTCATTGGTAACTGCGAAACGCACCTATAAAATTGCGGCTTTGCGCATAGACGGAGCGACAAGAGGTAGCGTATTCTTAGTATATATATGTATATACATATTTTTCATTACATGATACACATAGGAAAATATATAGCGACTTATTTTATCGAAATTATGCAATAAAAATAAGACAAACAAAACAATTGACAAAATATCTTAAGATTTGAAAAAATTAGGAAATTAAACGACTGCATAAAGAACTTTAGCAAATGTTTAAGTAACATAGAAACCTTTACTTTAGTTTTTGTTTTATAAACAAAAATAACTAGTGGTCTTTTTCATGAGTTCACAACTAATAAATAGTTATTTCAGTAACAAGTTGTAATTTCTACATTTAAAAGTATTCCAAATTTCAAATCTTTCGCATTATTAGTTGTTGAAATTTAGCGGTGCGTGGGAAAAGGTGGACAAATGAACGAAATCTCATCATAAAGGTTTCTTTTGACTTTTTTGATATGGAATTTCTATAATACAAGAATCACAAAAGTTTTTCGATAGGGACGCAATTAAAAAAAATATTTAAATGCTATGCCAAAATGAACTATTTAAAAAAATTTGAGTCAGTATCACTTGGGATGATGTAAAAATTAAAAACTGTAAACTGCATTTAAAAGTTATTATTGAATAGAGAAACTCACATACGTATGAAATACGTACATGAACCCTAAATACATTGCATTCCTTCTTTATGCAGTCGCGTAATGAACGAAGTCGCATTATAAAGGTTACTTTTTACTTTTTTGTTACGGAATCCCAACACAAAACCCACAAGTCTTCGATAGATAGGGACGCAATAAAACTGTCCGCTACCCGCTATCCGCTACCGCCTATACAAAATAGCACGACTCGTAAACGTATAAACATAACATTACGTTATCAATACTGATAACGGGTCGTTAACCCCGAGTTCGCTTCCTCATACCGCCACGTGTTTCATCTAGGTAATGTAATTACTTTCTCACCATATCTGTTATATTTGTGTAACTATATTTCAACTTTACGTCATTGTTTGAAGGTTTATTTTAGTGATTACATTATTCTAGCTTTTTGCTCGCTACTTCGTACACGTGGATTTCAGAAGTATGAAAACCTATTAAACATACTATTTCAAGATGGCGTATCAAAATAAATTATACATCATAGATTTTAAGATAGGCCTTTCAGAACAGAACTATTAAAACAGCATGGTACAATAATTATTGCGTGATGCCGGAACTAACATACAGACAGACAGAAATAAAAAATTAAAAATTACTTTGGCATCTATTAGACTTATTTAAACCCCTCATATTAATTCCTATCTGTAATTTCATATAAATACTTGCATTTAGAATGCGGAAACGTGTGTATACATGCAGATTTTGATTCGTAACAAGCATTTTTTTGCACCGCAAAGAAATTCGGCAGCTTCAATCGTCACACAATTTATATAAGAGCAACACGAGACTAAACCCATATATTCGAAATTTTCATTATATCAATCACAAAAAGAATCCAGAAAATCGGTTCCGATTTGGTGACGTAATCGAGTGACAGAAAAAAACGGACGAATTGAGAACCTCCTTTTTCGAAAGACGCTTAAAAATAACATGTCATAGGTATCTTGTACATGAAAATGTATATTCTGAGTTGGGATAACTCAAAATTCTGGGGAGGGGGTGGGGGGTAACTGTTCGTGATGGAGTCTAACAGACCCACTGCTAGCAATATTAACCCTATCAGGTCGATCTCTACGTGGTTCGCCCTGGAAACCATCGTGGTTCATTCTTGACGAATTCGTCATGGTGAGCCAACTAAGCTACATTTATCCTCACCTATCATCCCTCACTAGTTCCCCGCTATTGTATATCGATAGCACAGGCGAGGTTACTATTCCATTTTCACCCATTAAAAGTCCTCAAAATACGTGCAATCTTTCGACGGCAGAGGGCGCCACTCTCGCGTGTTTAGTAATTATAGATCAGGACTCACCATCGCGGCTCATTCCAAGCTTGAGGCACTTCTGCAGCCTGCAGTACTGGCACCTGTTCCTGTTGACTCGGTCCACCACGCAGGCCTTGTTGCGTGGACACTGGTAGTTCACCACTGAAAGAATTCACTGTATTATTAAGGGGAATATAGTCCCACTGGTAAACACAGTACTGAGAAGAGGTATTGGCCTATGTATACTACTAGCCACGCGGCTTGAATTGTGTTTTCCAAAAAAAAAAACCTCAATTGAGTCAAAACTAGTTATTTTGATTTAAAAATTAAACTGTTGAATCGATTTTGATAAAATTTCTATGGGACTTGTAAATAGGTATATTCTTTCAAATAAAAAAAGAATTTTTCGAATCGGTGTATAATTGACAGAATTATTAGGTTACAAAAAGGTAAAAAACACAACTAAATTAGAACTTTTTTTTCGAAATCAGTTGATAAATTTAAACTCAATAACCATGTAACTGGCATAAAATCACTTTAAAATTTTGGCATAATTTTTTTTTAATTATTTAATTGTTAAAATACCTGGCGATCAATAACTTAAAATTACCTTTAACTCTTTTTTTTCATACTATATATTTTATATACACCATACCTACTCCAGTGGCGGACTAAGCCCGTTAGAGGCCCGAGGCGGCAAAACTGAATGAGGCCCCCAGTTTAAGAAGTTGATGTAATTTTACTAATTCTAAATTCATTTTTTTGTATATGCATTTTATCTTTTTCTACTGCGTATGTCTATCTATGTCTGTTGTTGTTTGTGTGCATGTAAGTAATGCAAATAATCGCACCGCTTATCATCAGGTGGACCGTATGCTTGTTTACCACCTCAGTGATAAAAAAATATATATATATCGTCATAGTCGTAGAATACTGATGGAATACTGATGAATCTTTGTCAGATCCGTCAGTATTCTACGGCTATGACGATATATCTATCTATCTACAGGCTTATTATTCAGTTCACATTTGTACGTATAAGTGTTTATTTTTATTGGTAGCAATACAGATTTCCAGTCCCATTGCCAACAATATACCATGTTAGGTCTACCTCCACGTAGTCCCCCCTGGAAACCATCGTGCTGAAATCCAAGTGTGTTTATCACGATGACCTAAGTTTCATTCTCACCTATTATCCCTCACTGGTGCCCCGTCAGCGTATACCGTTAACGCGGGCGGAGTTATTAGTACCATTTTATAAAAAAAAAAAACACTTACTGGTACCCCCCCCCCCCCGGCATATGCTGATAGCCCATTTCAATAAAAAAAATGGATGTAGTATATAATATAGTTTTATGATTTTATCTAAACTAATATTATAAAAACCAGAGGGAGACTTTGTACAAAAGTCGATTGCTTGGGTGCCTCTGTTCCATTCGTGTTTCTACCGTGAAGCAGTTGTGTTTGCATGGCTGTGTTTCGGTTTGAAGGGTGGGATGTGGCGTGAATTTACAGGGTACAGAGGAATAACAACCGAGTCCTCAGGAATGGCAACGCATGGGGGGTATCATGGGCGAAACAGTACACTCTGTTATGTCCATGGTACAGCTCATGTCTATAGGCGACGGTTACCACTTTCCATCAGGTGGGCCGTCAGCTTGTTTGCCATTCTAAGTTGTATAAATAAATATTTTAAAATATTTCAACACTTAACCAATTTTAAAATTCTTCCATCTATAGAATGCTACATTATCGGCGAATTACATGGGCTGTATTTTATTTTCCCTACCCATGTAAACCCGGGGCGTATCACTAGTCTTATAATACAAGAAGGATGATAAATGAACCTGACCTGTGCTCTGTGACCGGCGGAAGAAGCCCTTGCAACCTTCGCACGTGATCACCCCATAGTGGACCCCTGATGACTTGTCGCCGCACACCTTGCATGGTATTATTTCAATTTGGGCTGCAACAAGAGAAACAAATATATATTATTAAAATGCACACTCATATTTCGTTTTGCGAACAAGTACATTTATGACCGACTTGAAAAAAAGAAGGTTCTCAATGCGGTTGTATTTTTTTTTTGGTTTGTCGTCTAAGAACTCCGTCATTTGTAAATCGAATTGGAAAATTCTTTTTTTATCTGAAAGTCACTTTCAGATTGGTCCCTATAAGTAAGTAGTTTATCAATCATTTTTCATCACAACAGTAAATACTGTCGATTGAAAAAAAATTGTAAGAATCAGTTTAGAATTGGCAACGTCACCACGTAACATAACCACAAAAAAAAAATAGAGAACTTCCTCCTATTGAAAGTCACATAAAAAACTAGCTACGTGAGTCATAAAAAAATCATGTTTAAAAAGTCATGTTTATATAAATTGTACTTATTTGTATTAAATCTAAATACATTTTGATTCACTATTTCTTTTTTTTTTTTTTTGCTAATAAAAGAATTATCACAAAATAAATGTACGAACCAATTCAATATATTATCGTTTGATGTATTATGAAAAAAAGGCGTTAATTGATTGCAAACAAAACTGTTACGTTGTTACGAAAGGTGACAAAATTCAAATTTCGAACTGTCACGTTCCACGACGGCTACCGTTTTCGGTCGAATGGTTCATCGACCCCGAGGCAAGGTCGGAGCGCGGCCAATGACTGGCCGTTGCGTGTGTGCGTGGCTCAAGTCACAACCACATCGAACCTGGATAAGGCTAAAGCAGGGATCCCATTCTGCTATACTCGATGCGAGTCGTAATCTTGTTTTTTTCAAAGATTTCAGAATTGTTCTAAGGTTTTTTTCCTCGTTACAAATTAGATATAATCTCATCCGTGACGTTTGATTCTAACAACAAATTTGAATTTAACGATTTCAACGATTAATTGTTAATTTGTAATTTCTGCCACGTGTACCCTAAGTATATGGTACTCGTAGCAAATTATATAGCCGTATATTTCTTTTTTTTTTTTTTGAATAACGATAATCTATACTAATATTATAAAAATGAAAGATTTTTTTATATGTTCGTTTGTTTGTTTTTTTTTTTTTTTGTTTGTAATGGTTAATAAACTAGAAGTAGTCAATTTTATTTATTTGGCACACATAACAGACGTTTAAAAATAAAAATTTAAACTATAACATGCAAGTACATTAATGTACTGATCAGGTAAACTTGCCATCACATGTGCACACAGTATGATCCAATAAATGCGACTGCAACAAAACCATTCGGTTGCAACAATTGGTGATAAAAATTAAACAACAACAATTGATATTAAAAATTCTTTCATCTATAGTAAACTACAATATCAGCGAGTGGGGAGGAAAGGGATTGTTAGTAATGGAGACTGAGAATCCCATAGCTAGCAATATATCCAACCAGGTCGACCTGCTCGCGGTTCCCCCTGGAAACTATCATGGTTAATTCCTGATGAATTCATCATGATGGGCTAACTGGCCTGTTTTCATTCTCATCTATCTCTCTTCACTGGTGCTCCGCCAGCGTATCCCGTTAGCGCGGGCGGGGTTACCATACCATTTTCACCCATCAAAAAAAAAATATCAGCGAGTAACATAGGAACTTATCTTTTATACTGTGTACCCGTGAGATGCCTGGATTGCTGGCGTGTAATGATTTTGTTACGTTTTAGTTACTTGGCTCTACTGCATGCATAACAATTATGTAAGTGCGCCTTTAAATTCTAAGAATGCACTAAAACAGAATTTACATTTTATAATTAAACACAAATGAAATATTAGTAGAGATTTTCCGTTAACGAAATTTATTTTAAATTTAAAAATTAAGATAGATTTAATTTTTATTCTTTTTTTAAATTCCAATTATTGTGTTCAATTCGAGCACATATATCGTCATAGTCGTAGAATACCGACGGATCTTTATATGTAATCTTCGTAAGATCCGTCAGTATTCTGCGACTATGACGATATGATAACTGGGAGTAATGTTTGGAATTTGGAACCTAGTTTTTTTTGTGTTATAATCTCAGTTATTATCTAGATGAAATTTCCCAACAGCTTCTCAATTGTAATTTCATAGGAAATTCGTAATTAAGAAATATTGCAGGTGTCCATAGGCTATAGTACCTATTTACCATCAGACGGGCTGTATGCTTGTTTACTTTTGCCACAAAAAAAATCAAATTTTCAATTTCATGTCAAGGAATTTATTTACAGTTATGTTTTTCGTTGTTCATTTTTAAATTGCATTTTTTTTTAAATAATTTGATAAAAACTATTTAAATTATTTGCACCACAAGGACATCGCCATTTCATTAATCGATTACATTTCTAAAATGGCGTCGCGGCATAGACAATAATAGTGATGTAACAATGAGCGATTATTTTTATGTGCCGTATACCTTGCAACACCATTGTCTGTGTGGCAATATCCTACATCTTAGCCGCAATTTTATGGTTATTTGTTATTGCTAAATATTTTAGTTTTGGTCTAGAACATAGACATACATAGATAGATCTAACTTCAATATCACTACATAGTATAAAACAAACTCGCTGTCGCTGTCTGTCCGTCCCTATGTATGCTTAAATCTTTAAAATTACGCAACGGATTATGAAGCGGTTTTTTTGAATAGATACGAGTGATTCAAGAGGAAGGTTTATATGTATAATACATGCATAATATTGTAGAGAAACACTGATAAATTTAAAGGTTTCTAATGTGATGTCGTAAATAAACACATTTTTTGCGCTTAAATTGCAAACGCTGGCTGAACCCTACGAGATAAATCAAAATAATAAAATAAAATATAAATAAAATAAAATAAACGATGGATAAATTTAATCTAAATATAATTTATAATCAATAAACAGTATTGTACACTTCGACAAAAGGACAACATATAAAAAAGTCCGCTGTTTTTGGTATATGTCGTATTTTTTGTATCTCTTTTTGTTGTTTATAAAGATATTCTGTAGTAGGTAGGTATATTTAGTATCAGTATTGCACCCGTGCAAAGCCGGGGCGGGTCGCTAGTATATATTATAGAGGAGTAATCAAAGGTCTCTAGAATCAGTATGTATACATGAGACAAGTTATGCAAGTGCAAGTAAGAAATATACTAGTATGTAAGGACATACGACTTTGGCATTCAGTAACCTCTACACTTTTTGGGTGAAGATAAATAACATCAAAATATCTGTATTGTATTTTTTTGCCCGTGTCATATAGATTTTTAGAGTCATCGTAATGCATTTTTCTTTTTATACGTAGTTACAATAATGTCAGTATATTATAAACATATTTAGGTCCATTGCCCACCTCATAATATTATGGTGCCCACCCTAAAAGCTGAAACGAACCTATCAGCTGTAAGCAAAGACATGTCTAAATATACATATGTTCCTAATTTACGAGTAGGAGGTTTGAACACGCCTATACAAGTATTTTCTTTTGTTTCTGCTTATCTTTTACACAGTCTATTCATCTCTCTCCATCGTTGTTCATACTCAACGAGAACGTTTACTCCTAGATGTATTTGTCTTATAATTTCCATACTAATTTTGTCAATAGTGAAATAGGATTTTTAATTTATTAAAATGATTTTGAAAGTGTATCGAGATTATCGATACCATAAACAAATATAGATAAATAAATACTGTCAACATCTTATTTTTTTTTCTCAGCATACATCTTATTGATAAAATACACGCAATATTATTATATTACATAATAATAGAAATAAAATTTAAAAAAATCAACACTATTAAGAAAAATAAACTTTAATAAAACTGCAGGACACCACTAGTTTGTATGGAGATAAACACAGTCGTGCTTCCTGCAATCGGGTAAAAAAGGGACAAGCTATGGACCTGGCCCGTTGCACACAGCCAGCTGATCGTGACGTCACCGGTCGCCGACCCCGCAGCACCGTTCAAATATCGAACTCCTCGTTCGAAATTGTATCACGCCCGCCGTGACGTCACCGCGTTTTGAATTTGGAATACGTATTAGGTAGGTTTATTGCACCGTTACCAACGTTGGCTATGTGTGCGTTGGCAGTAGGTCATTTTTTTGTTTGATTATTTTTCCATATTACGTGTTTATTTAAGAATATTCTCTGTTTTTGTAGTGAAAAATGTATTTTTATTTATTCCTTCCATATTTAATGATTTAAATAATTTTTCTGAATGGTAATCTAAGTAGGAAGATATATTCTTTGTAAAATTATGAATATCTTAATTCTTAATTAAAAAATTTTGTTCGCTTGAAATTAAAGTTAAAGAACCAAGGGCAAGTGGTTTTTAAAGTTTATATTCACTTGACTTATTGACACCAAAAGTCGTGAGTTCAAATCTGGCTGACAATAAAAATGTCAATTTAAATTTCAGATTAATTCTACAGTTAGAAAAACCACCGTTAATAAACCAAATTAATATGAAAGACGCGGTGGACTCGCCGCCTGATGTTGGATTCAAATCTTGTCAGTGTTATATGGGCATTTCATGGTCTATGAATTTTTTTTAAAGTGGTAATCTGTCACTATCTTCTTTTTTATAAAAAAAAAAAAAGTTTATGGCGAAAACTTTCTTACCTTTGTTAGTTTTATATCTATGAATTTAAATTGTTTTTATATGTTTCTATTAACATTAACGACTCAATTTCGCACGAATAGATAAACAGAAAAATAAATTATATTAGCTTTGATAGGCAAATTTTAGATACTTTAACTTTCTTTTTTGTAATTTTCGTAGGAATCTCTAAATTTTTTTATCTAATATAGCTATAGCTCATGTTACTTTCGATAATAAAGCTTTCTATAGGTGAAAAAATTCCTAAAAATCAGTTGTTTAGTTTTTGAATTTGACCATTACAAACAAACATACAAAAAATATATATATATATTTCCTCTTTATTATATTAGTGGAGATTCTTTTTTTGTTTTTTTTTCGACAGTATTTACTGTCGTGTTGGTCTC